GATTGCTCGAATCACCTCTGCTGTCTTCACCAGCCTCTGACAGCCCCCTTTCTATGTTGTATTGGATTGCCGTTTGAAATGCTGGGTTTCTCACATCGTCATGGAATTTTTCTTTGATAGACTGTTTCGGTGCTCGTCTTCGACATTGCTTTTTCAACATTGTCAACTTCGAGTGGATCGATTCGAGTGTGTTGGATTTTTCCACTTGTTTCTGCAAAACTCTTCTTAGGTATCAGTTTTATGATTACCAACTAGATTCTCACTTGCTCGAGGACGTAGTCTGTCTCTCTCACTCTTCGCATGCTCGATTAAGCTATTTACCACATCGATGAATGTTTGGATTTTCTTCGCATACTTTTCATCCACCGTTAAGGCTGAAAGATTTGCATTGATTTTTTTTTAATCGTCTGTCTTCTTCCATCAAAAATGGTTATGAAGAGCAATTTGAGCTTGTGCTTGAGGGTGGCAATATGACCCTCAACATATCTCACTCGCTGATGATTGTGTTCGGCCTACTCTCTTCGGTCGTATCGTCGATTATTGTTCTTGGCGTCTTCATTCATTTGTTCCCAGTCATCATTTCTTTACCACAGCTGGTGGTTGTGCTTAGGCTCACTGGCACTGAAGATTTCACCTTCTATTCTCGCTACGAAACGCTGATTCAGATCGCTCAAACCGGTCGCTGCTTATAATGATTCAGTCGTTAGTTATTGTACCTCGTTATGAAGTGCCTGCACTTTTCGTTCATTCTGCGCCACTTCGTTTCGTGCCGCATCGGCCGTTAACCGTATTTGATTGACATCTTGTTGTAATAGTTGAATCAAATAAAAAAACTTTAAGAAAGTCATTTCTCATGCCGAAAGCGAGCACAAAACTTGTGATAATCACAATGACTTTCTTAAAGTTATTTCATTTGATATCAGCTGTTTTGTAATAGAATTCTGCAATAAAATGAACAGTCTAGTCTACGTTCTTCGTACTTATGTCCAAAATCCCGTGACGAACACGATAGGCACGGTTGCTGGAGTTGCAACGTGTTTAATTTCGCTGAAATTGCTATATACCCCAAAATTGTTGTTGTTTCTGAACAAAACTTGTAGTGTCGCAATAATGTATCTCGTGACTCCGTGGTGTGATTTCCGTGCGCTCTTTGGTATTCTCAATCGTTTCGATGACAATTATCTAAGGTGATGAGTTGATTGTGTTCAGTAAACTGTTCACTTGCCGGTTTCGTTGGAAAGTTGATAGAGCACGACTGTTGTTGTAATCACTTGTATTAGGTGGTGTATGCCCTTTTTCGCCGAAATATTTTTCGCATCCAGATATTCACTTTAACGACGATTATTCCACTTTCGAATCTTTTCGGGTCGTCGGTTTTCTTAAAATAGTGGTATACCAAAATCCGAGTGGTTGTTATTGTTGTAATCACTTACATTCGTTGGTGTATTACTTTTTACCGTAATTATTTTTTCGGATATATTTTTTTCTCTTTATTTCATTCACAAACTGGTATACACTATTTAGGTATATTAATTAATATTAAATCATTCATCAATACTCTCGAGTCGTTAGTTTTCTTATAATTATTCTATACCTAATGAGTTGCTCACTCACACCCGCGACCCGACAAAAAATTTAAAAAAAAACGATTAAATTCCGTAACTTTTCGTGTACTTGATTTTTACTGGGCAAGAATTATTTTATACGGTTTAGCACGATTGTTAAATGTGCGAAGGCTTCACGTTATTTTAATTTTTGAGAGAAAATTTGATTTTTTATTTCTTCAAAGACTTAGAAAATTTTCGTTGATGTCCAATTTGTTAGGTAACACAACGTATAAAACTGTTTGTACAGCGCCAGTGAAGTGACTAATTTAGCCACTCGTGTATTCAATTCAACGGTTTACAATGAAAGACGGAAATTCGTATGTGTAGTCAGTAGATGTTTATTGATTGAATGGTCATGAGCAACTAACTAGTGCGAGTGCATTCGTATGAAGCGGTCACCGGCGCTTTACCAATTCTGCTTACCCAAAATTGGTCGAACGCCCGCAATCGTTGGCGTAAATGCACTCGCATATGTATTTTTGTGCATAATTACAATTCGTCTTACAACATCATAACGTTGGCTTGATAACTAATAAAATCATTTTTGTTTTTGTAGATATGTTTCTGTGTTTCTGTTTCTTATATAAAAAAGAAGAAGAAGAGGTAAGTCGAGTGTAATGGTTTTTGATTGTTCTTCGAATTTACTTTCTTTTCTATTGATTTTTGTATTTTATGTTTTTTTTCCATTGGTGAATTTGCTTTCTAACATTTTGGATTTTTTCGATTTATACATGTGAATTTCTATTTTTAAACATGATGCTCAAGTCTGGAAATTGTGTTGGATTCGGAAAATTGTCTTGAAAATCCTGTAACATGCATTCGAACATATGAACTTTGCTAAAATCTCCATTGTCCCATGGAATATTGAATGTGTTGATCACCCTTCCTATGCAATACAAATCGATGATGTTGTTTTTTTCACGAATATTGGTGATGTACGGATTGTTTATGGAAACAAATTCCGTGGCTTTGCGTAAATCGAAGCCAGGAACGTAGATTTTATAAAAGATTTTTGGAATCGGTAATTTTCCAATTCCTTTTTTCCAGTATAAGTACATTCTCTGTGGTGTACCGTTTTTGTCCGTTAATTCGAGTATGCCATTGGTTCCGCTATAGACGCTTGCTGCCATATTATGTTCGATTACATAGTCTCGCAGAAACTGTAAAATGAATATTTTTTATAAAAATAGTTTTTCTTTATTCATTTTATTGGTAAGTACTCGACTTATCTCGTCGGTAATTTTCCAATAACCACAATCAATTCATCTCCACTGTGGTGCTGCATTCAAATAATCATATGTATTGTCACGTAGGATAACGACAAAATCTGATGTGGCAGCCAAATGTCCCTTTGTAATATATTTGTCATCTTTTACGATATATTCGTCACAATTGGATTTGTTTTCGAATAGTGGTTCACCTAAAATCCCCTTGCAATTACGGATTTGGCTTTTTTGTGTGTATAATTCTCCAACATTTGGACCTATATAAAATACGATGCAAAAGAACGAAACACAACGTGTATAGTATCTGTAGCAGAATGTATCATCTATACATAACAATATCATTTTTGTTGTAAATTTGGATTCTTTATTAATTTTTAAACGCGAATTAAGCACTATTTACCGACCAATCAATAACGCGGTTTAAATTGCTAAATTTTAACTTTATAAAATACTCGGATTGATCGTTATGCTTGATTTCATTAAATTTTTGGTTTCTACATAGAATTAAGATCTTTCTCTCTTTGATTTTCGCTGATTAGCTGGTATTTAAAGTCTTTTCATGAATACCATCCCCCCTTGTAATGTAATTGTCTCTTTGCTAAAGACGCACCATGGGCGGAATTTATACCGTATTGGGTCTTTGGCCAGCATGTTAACAGCTCGCTGTGAACACATATTGGTATAAATGTAGGCTTCGTAATAAATGAAAAATTAAAAAAATAAATATTATCGTAGTGCATACCTGGATCGATTTTCGTTTTATTCTATTTACGTTTCTCTATGGGAATCAATTGTTACTTACAATTTTCGGGCGTCAATTCATGGTAGACCCAGAAAGTATCACCATGTATCTTTCGTGACAAAGTATAGTGATGGAAGGAGCATGATGTATTGATGAAATAATGTCTTTGGATATATACTCTTTATTCATTGTTCTTTGGTTGAAGGTTGTGTTGTGACTGAGTGGATGCGCATGACGTCGCGACTAATTCGGCTAATGCCGTAATTAGCGCAACGTCGTCGCATATATAGTCGGAGAGTGCATGCAGATGTGTATGATTTACATAGGTGTATGCGCTCTCCGGCTATAAAAGGACTAGTGGATACAATTCGAAAAAAGTCCTACCGGAAGTTCCACAATTGTTTTGGGTTTGTTGTATCAGGTTATATGGGCTAACAGTGCTCAAATCACCTGAAATCGAAAATTCGAGTACTATTGAATATGTGATAGAAAGAATGTATCAACAAGTGGTAAACCGAGTTGCTTATTTTTGTTCGAATTATGATTTTTTGCATGTGAAGTTGCATTTAAGCTTCAAAATGAGTCATAAAATCCCACTTTAAACTCACTCTAAAACGAACTAACATTATTTCATAACATTCATCAATTGCAATGTCACCTCCTCTGTGAGTAATATCAACCAACATGTATTGCACCATTGTTGGCCGTAATGATTTATTAACCTGTGGAATGCCGTCTGCTCATGTTCCTTGCACTTTCTTACCACCCTACAAGTACAAGGGCGGCCAATCCAAAGATTGCACAGAAAATATTTTCACTATTTCTACCTTTTCGATCCATGTTTAAATGATTTCCCGGCAAAAAAAAAACTTCAAAGTAATGATAGCAAATATTGAACTGTCTTGTTATCTCAGCACTTGGGCCTCATACTGTTTCACTCTCTCGCATCTGTCAGTCCCATTAAATACTATGAATTAAAGCTTTATCAATAGATGGCTCTTGAGCCGATTTGCGCCTTTAATATTTCAAATTGTAAAATCAAAAACCAAACGCAGCAAATGTTCAAGAGAGTGTCATGGAAATCAGTATAATACTCAACTTTTTTGTTGTATTCCATCGAATTTAGAGTCTAAGTCTTAGACTTTGGTCCAGCTACTGGCCGTGATCAGTGTTTCTTTATACATCTGATTTTGGTACCAGCGATACACTCGATCGTGTCGCCTTTAGCGTTTTACCTATACAAAATTTGCTTGGCGCTTGCTGGTATGTTTGCACTTTCTTTTTCTATAGCACCATTCACATTCATATCTATTTCTGTATTCTTTCAATGGGAACAGTACATTCCCAATTATCAGAAAATGACGTGTCAAAAATGCAATTCTCTACCATTACTACAGCACAGTACACAATAATTAAATCGCATGGTTCATTGAATATGATATTTGTTATCGATTTTATTGCCTCATTTCAAAGGTATTCGCACAAAAAAACATAACAAAGTAATTTCCGAAACATAATTGTAAATCCTTACTGCTGTATCAATAAATTGAAAAGAAAGAAAATGATAACAATGAATTGTTGCAATTAAAGTGTGTCATAAATTAATATATCTTGTCACTGGATATGGGGGCAACGATAAGGCACACGTAACGTCATACAGTCTTCCGTTAAAATAATATGATAGGCGACTATTCACAGTTTTGCACCCAATTTACTACTCCGTCGGATATGTTCGGATTAAAGAAGAATCGATTGAAAGTTTCTTTTCATGCAATCAATTGAATTGATTGAATCTATCCCATTTGAAGGTGTCTTAAATTTCGGCCGATCGGCTACATCAATCAGCCCATACATTTAGAACGTATGCTCTCGAAATTGACATTTCCTCCATCCACACACGCATCAAAGAAAAACACTTCGATGTTATCCTCCAGGTACGCGCCAGAACATTTCCCTTAATCTCCATTTTTAATTGTACTTAAACTACTACGTTATTTGCTAACTTTAGAGTTTTTTTCTACTGGACTTGCTATTTATGGCTTCTTGCTCCCATTTCAAAATGATACATTGTTGATTTGTCGACATTTTCACATAAATACATAGAACTTATAGAACTTAAATTATTTCATTTTTTATTTACTAAACTTGTGTCATAAATAGCCTATATCTGTGCACGTGTGAAAAAAAATACACTAACAATTGAATACGACCGGTCAACTTTGCGTTAAATTGATTTGTTTGTTGTTAAAATTGTGCGACTGCATGTCAATGGACATGCCAAATTGATTCAAAACAATTGATTCTCGTCTGAACTGAATGACCAGTGAATAAATATTGTGAAAACAATGTACAAAAAAAAATTCCACTCAAATTGCTGCCCAATTTATTTTGTTTTTTTTTTTTCATTTTTGTTTTAAAAAAAATGTCATTATATATGTACTTTTTTAAATACATATACGTATTTGATTTGAGGTACTCGTTTCATTTTTGTCATGTAAAAAAAAAATTGAAAGTTATCTCGTTTCATCTCTCTCAATTATTATTGCTGCTACTGCTGATGAAATCTTTGAAGCGATCTTTGAATGTTTTCGTCTTGGTTTTGTTGATCACTTTACAATTTTTCATGATGATTTCCATATTTTGTTGCGTTGAACTCGATTCATTCTCATTCTTCAGTATTCGTGAATCGAATAAATCGTAGAAATTCGATTGAGCCATCCAAGATGCCGTGTTTGGCCCGTTGATCGGATCTGGTTCGCTGAATTTTTGCTGCACAAAATGACGAAACATTGCCGTTTCTACAAACCACTCCAAAAATAAACGATACGATTGCGATGAATGCGATGCTATGAACTCGACTTTCTGGTTTTTTTTTTTTTTTGAAAAAGATAGAATCGGATGAGATTAGAATTGGCTCTTTTAGAAAAAAAAATCTAAAATACACAAAATGGTTGTTGAAGAAAAAAAATGAGAAAAAAATCTAAATTCTAAAGAAATCCAATTAAAAACGAATCGTATTTGACTCAAAATCCATACTCACATTAAATGTTTTATGTTTATACCCGACGAATAGTTCAACAAAGCATCTCAAAAAGGCTTCGGCAATAAGAACACTGCTGAGCATTTTGCCTTGATCCAGCAGATCGACCATTTCGAGTGAAACTTTTAGCGAATGACTGAGTGATGTGGGTAGAATGGTGGTTTCATCGCCGCATTTCTGTAAAAGTGTTTTTGTATTTAGATCGATGACGATGGCGTCTTCAATTTTGAAATCGATTGGTTTCAGTAGGCCGGCCAAAACTGGGATTGGTGCTTCGCAAATGTCTACCAGTGATTCGGGTAGAATGGTGATGATGGTGTGTTGCCATTGGAATGGATAAAGAAGTGTTTGTAATCCCAAGACGCATGATGACAAAATGGAAATATTTTCGGTGCAGAGAATGACTTTGCGTTCAAGTAACAACGTACTAAAGACGACAATCAGTAGATCCGAGCCGAGTGCCTGATACAGATCACTAAGTTCGGTGCTTTCAAGCCGTAAATCATTCGGTCGTCGTATAAAAATCTCATCACATTTACTTTTGCCATTGAATAGGCTTCGATTGATCAACGATAGATCGAATGGTGCGCCATTCTGTTTCTTCTCTTCAAATTCCTGCACCAACGACTTGGCTTGATTGGATCGTTCCTTCTTCGTTGTAGCCACCATTGAATCCGTTTCACAATTGCTGAACGCTGCTTGCGCAGCCGACTCGGTTAACCACCTCGGATTCACCTCTAAGCTAAGTCGTTTCGGCATTACTTTATGGTGCTGAGTGGAAATGGTTTTGGGTCGCGGTGACAATGGAAGTTTTAGATGTAAAAATTTTCCCGCCGCCGGAATTGATCGTGTTTGCAAACTCTGGAGCAGGAAATTGGTTTGGAATTCTGCCTGGCCATGTCTTGTTTCAATCTCGCGCAAAATTTTAAAGTAAAATCCAGGGGCTTTGACTTCGCTAATGATGCAGTAGGCCAGCGGCAGGCATATTTCACAACTTTCAGGCAAAATGCGGCGACAGTAGCCATAGACATGGTATCCATTGCCGTCGGTTAGTATGATGCTGTAGTCTTGATTTTTGCGCGTTTGATTTATGAGATTCCGACTGGGGAATACGAGCTGCTCAATGTTCAATGGGATTTCTTCGTCGGCCGGAAATTTTGACTTGATATACGCCTGTCGTGTGCTATTGTTGAACCCAATCAATAAACACACTTGGAACAGTTTTGGCGTAGTGTCACCACCATCATCATACGGAATGGACTCATTGCCACCGTCCAAATCATCGACTTCGTTGTCATTGTCCGATTTTCGGCCGTCCGTAATGTTGTCATTTCGATCGTCACTGCCGACACTGCCGACCACATTCTTTGGTGAAACATGCTTATTACCGCTGCTTCCATTGCTATTGATGGAATCATTGTCAGTATTGTCTATCGAAAATGTTCGGAAAACCGTTGACTTGAATGTTTGATGCATTGAATCGTTTGACAATAGGCTATCGGGTTGGATTCGTTGCACAGACACTTTTTTCACATACTCTTTTCGCTTTTCGGTCAATCGGCGTGATAATTTGGTGTTTGTCCTCTCTTGATTGACCGTCTCATTGTTTGTTGGCGATGATGAATGTGAGATTGATGGCGATACTTGCATCGAATCAATTGCATTTCCCATTCCGTCATTCGCTTTGTGCTGCTCAAATGCTGCATTCACCAAAATATTTATCTAATTGGGACGAGAAATATGAAAGATGTTAGACTGGATTGGATACACTTTAGTAAAGTGACTTTACACCGAAATTTAGACCATTTTCTTAAAAAAAATTCTACTCTTATTAAACATACGTTCGAGATCAAACAAAAAGAGCTAGCTATTCACACTAAATATAATATTTTGTAATGAATCAAACAATTATTATTCAATGATTCAATATTGAATGAGAAAAATTCATAACTTTTCCCCCCTAGATTCATATCGAATGGAAATATTGATGCTTGGACTTGAACTTTTAATTTCATAACTTTTTTTCTCACTTCTTTATATTTTAAAGAAAATCCTTACTTCATCAAACAGGAAAAGCAATCGAATATCAATCGCTGACAAAGAGTTGACTGAATTCATTGTACTATTTTAAATAACTTACACTTATTCGTCAAATGTGGAAATATTTATTCATGAGATCTAAATGCCTCGGAAACCGAGATGGTTTGACGTTTTACTTTCGCTATGTTGATAACGCTGACGGTTTAAGCATATCGTAACGACTTTCTTGAGACTTGACAATTGAGTCATACAATGAATAAGGCCATACTCGACTAGCACATTGGTCCAAAAAATACATTTCAACCCATTATGATCTGTAGCCTATTTCACCAAATGTTTTCATGAAAAGTTTTCATGAGATTTTCTTCTCAAGTTTTTTTTGGTCAAACAAATATATCTAAATGTAGCAATGAGAAAATCTCAATAAAAACGTGGAAATATCCTCATTTTTTTGACATTATTTTGAGCACCAACTTGAAATTTCGAGATTTTTTCACAAAAATGTGAGATCACATCATGGTTGGCAAAAAAAAAATGAGAATTTAAATTTTGCGCTCAAGATAATGTCAAAAAAATGAGAATATTTTCACGTTTCTATTGAGATTTTCTCATTGCTACATTTGAATACATTTGTTTCACCAAAAAAACTTGAGAAGAAAATCTCATGAAAACTTTTCATGAAAACATTCGGTGAAATAGGCTGCTGAACATAAAGCAGTACATGAACTTAAAATTCACACGCAGCATTTTTCTTTCAGCTTCAAAAAGAAATTATTCTTCATAAATAAGTTGGATTTTCGTCGAACTTTCAACTTTGTTTTTGAGATTTTTCACAATTTTTCGATTGAGGCCGTAGAAATTCGCAACAAACACCACAAACTGCTAGATGTAAAAGTTTACACAAACGCAAAAATAGATCGATTGGATTTTTGTCATTTTCTACAATTTCTTAAAACAAAATTGGAACCAAATTCGGAAGAAAATATTGAATTTGAGCGCCAAACAAAAACACCTTTTACGAAAGTCTACACAATCGAAAAGCTGCTATGTTTCGTATTCAAACCACTAGACCTGAATGGGTTAATGGGAACAGCTGTGCCACATTAATATTCTACATTTTTTTTACTAGTGTCGATAAAATGCTTTTCACATCTCCATAAAATGATATTGTTCTTTATCACACATTTTTGTGATACGAATTGGTTTTAGTATGTTTTATATTGCTTTAGAAGCTTCCACATTGATTTTTCGAGCATATTACGCCATTATTTGTGGAAATAAAATGTAAATAACTCAAAATATCACAGATTATATTCATTAAATTCATGGAAATCGAAAAATCGTTATAAATTGTCAAAATATCTAAATGTTTGCTCAAAATTCGTCAAAGCCTCTCCAAAAATTGGTTAAAATTTCAGAAAAAAATTCATCTGAATTACGAAATTTTTTTTAAAAGAATGGAAAATAAAGAGATTATTTTGACTTCAATTGAAATCGAAAAAAAAAATTGAAAATCCTGTGCAATCTTCAAAAATCTAAAGAAAAGTGATCAATAAACATCTAAACTTCTTGAAATCCACCAAAAAAAGGCGTTGAAAATACTTTCATGGACCCGCACAATGCTCATGTGCCGAAAATTCGTTAAAAAATGAAACTAAAAAAAAACTCTCTGACATTATTGAGACCATAATAACAATAAATCACACCCTCCCATTTGATCTACTAACTACAAAAATCATAAATGTCATAACAAACACATTCATCACGCATCGGATCACATTGTGTATCGAATCGTATCGTATCATATTTACCTCGTCGTATGTATTCGGCAGCGGTTGATCATTCGCTTCATTTGAATTGGAATCGGAGTCGGAGCTCTTGATTTTGTTTTCAATGCTGGTACACTGGAAAAGGCGAGATAAAAGCGATTAATTATAATATATGCTTGAATCGAGATTCGGTAAGGTATAAATGTAGGAATAAAAGTGCGTTTGTTGTGCAAAAGTGATTGCAAATAAGCCAAAAGCGTTGCGTAAATTGCGTTTGTAAACAAAAGATGAAATAATAAAAATAAGCTCAAGCATGCGAATTCAATGGATCAGTATTGAAATGGTGTGATAAAAGTAAACTATGATGAAAATTAGTGCATTATGCCATGCGGTTTTCTTGTTAAATCTTGTGTGCGGTTATATGTAAAAACTAATTCAACTAATTTAGTAGAAGAAACAACAAAATTTAATTAATTTTTTTTTACTTGTTTGTTAGCGAAATGCAAATGTCCGTGTGAGTGTCGAATTTCGCACGTATCTAAAGAGAAAACAAACCCGACCACCGGAATATAGCCAATCGTTCAAAGAAAGAAACAAACAAATTCGATTCAGAGGTCACTGTGATATCGTTGAAATGTTTTTGTGTTTGCGTTTGGCAACCTGTCATGTGAACCGTTTGTCAAAAACTCACCATGTAATGAATGTCGTGGAGATCGTTGATGGAGTGATCATCGGCCGTGCATGATGTGCACGATGTCAGACTTGAGCCCAAACTTTCGGGCCCATCGAATGATGTGTTTGATAGTGAAGATGACAATAGCTTTGGTTCGTTGCTTAAATGGCTGGGTGTTGGTGAGACAATAACACCGAAACTGTTGCATTTATGTGGCGGTGATGATGTTGTTGTGCCGTTTCCAGTTTTAGCGGCATGTTTCAAATGTGCAAATGGTTCCATATAAATTGGCTCACTGTTGGGTGACCGTATAACATTGCGATTTATTTTGCCGATCGTCGTCGTCGTCGTCGTCGTTGTCGTTGTTGCCGCTTGGATTTTCTCGGGTGATGGCGGCTCTTTTGATGTAATCACCTTGCCGAATTGATTGGGCCCAATGATCATTGTGTCATAAATTGATGCCGATGAGCATGGGATGCAATTCAAAAGACTGCTGCTAAACGGATGTTTGGTTGCATTCCTAGTCGTACCTTTTGCTTTGTTATTCGTTTTGAGGACGAGTTGATTTTCGAGCAAATCGATTTTTTGTCGCATTTTATTGGTCGGTGCTGTAGCAACAGTGACAGTAGCAGGTACATGACTTCGTCCCTTGGTCGACGATTTTTCGTCATCGCTTGAATGTGTTGGTGTGTCTGGTGTTTGTACTGTTGTTGTGGTTTGCTTCGGTGAATCGATGAATGTGCGTGGTGGTTTCTTTGGTGGTGGACCGGATGGCAATGGCTGCCGTAGTACAGCCTTTAATGTATCAGTCAAACCGGGCTCATCCAGTTGCTGTCTCGTTTCAATATCACATCGTTTTAATAAATTTTCAAACTTTTCCGCAAATTCCGGCGAAATGACTGGCACACCGTTGTTCGTCGTTGTTATCGTCGTCGTTGTCGTCGGCGTAGGTGTCGTCGACGCTGTCGTTCGATTTGACTTGATCGCACATTTTGTGCCATTATCTTTCGAAACGTTGCTGTTACTCCCATTTTTCGTACTATTACTATTGCTACAGTTACTTTTGTCGCCCACACGAAATGCGGGGCTCCGTTTAATGCTACTCCGTTTGACTGGATCATTTGTGTGTCGTGTCAATCGCACTTCAACATTCTCTTTAATCTCTTTCAACGGTTTTAATGTGTCTTCATCATTGGCGGCTAAATTCCGTTTCTTCACAACGAATGCATCGGCCGAAACGGTTCGATCCAAATTATTGTGCCGCCGTAAATAGCCAATCTTTTTATTTGTATTAATTATGGACGGTGATTTATGATTGGTTTCAATAATGGACGATGACGGTGGCCGTGGCGGTGGCGGCTGTTTTGGTGGCGATATTTTCAATTTATTGCTATTGATCACGGCAATCTGACGATGAATCGGCAAATCGATCGATGTTGATGATCGTTTAAATAGAAAACTTGGCGACGGTTTGCGATATTTATGCGGCACCGTAGCCGATATATCCAACGATTCCAAACTATTGAGATTCTCAAATTTACTTTTGATACTTTTCACACGGCCCGTTTCGGCGGTTGTATAGGACATCTTTTCACCGTCCGTGAGAGATTTTTTTTTTTGGTTGGTTTGTCGTTGTCTCTCACTCGTAAACTGAGATGCGTTTTGATTGCACAGTTTTTTTTGTTGTGGTTTTGATGTCAATTTCGCTTCGATGCACTTCGTTTCCTCACATTTTTACGACCGCACCGAATAAATCACACACTATTTCTCGCTCTCGTGTTCATACAGCGATCGACAACTGACTTTTCAACACACTTGACAATTTCCAATTTAGTTGCGCAGCGCAGAAATTTACGCAAATTTATTCAATTCACATATGACATTTTTTGTTGTCTCTTTGTGGCCGTCGTCGTCGTTGTCGACGTTGTCGTCTTTTATTTTGATATCGTTGGTTCTCGGGGCTTATGCGCAAATCCGATATGTTGATTAAACGCAATTTTCGCTGACCATTGCAATTTCGATAGTGTCGCATATGGTTCGATTATGGTTGTGCCGCCGCAGTTGTGTTGCCGCAGCTACCGTTTCAACGTTGTCAGCGGTTAATTAACACAAATAGCGCGCACAACTTTCAAATGTTCTGGTTTTTTTTTGTGTGACGTGTGAGTTTGTTTTTTTTAAGTAGAAAACTTTTTTTCCCTCAAAGTTTGACTCTTTTTTTTCTTCTACCGTTGATTTTCTTCTATATCGTTGTTATGTCCGCGGTTATCTATTATTTTTGAAACTGGCTCCGTGTTTCTTTTTCTTTCGTCCAAGTTTGAACAGGTCAATTGCCTTCAAGTCGAATATTAAACACTATTTTCATGATTGTCACTTATGGTGGCCGTTTTTTTTGTTCTCGTCACGATTGTCACTGTATTGGCTACTCAGATCGTTCGTTCGTTCGTTTGTTTCTTTGTTCATGAGTGTGTTGATTGTTTTTTTTTAATTGCAATTTGGCGCAGAGCAGTCTTAATCTGAAAGCTAGCTACCAGTCTTTACACAGACATTATCTCGAACAAACGCAGATTGACTATAAATTTATCTGTGTAACAGCTCAATTTGACTGTGAAAGCCCATTTTTAATGCGAGATTCAAACTGCGGTTGGTTGTAATTTAAAGTGAAACTTGAAGCAGCTCAAAAAGGCCCTAAACGAATCGCAAATTGAATACACTCCACAAGTGCACACACGTTCATCATCTCGTTCAGCAGGTTGTTCCCTTTCTCTGTCGCTCGTTGTTCGTGTGATGTGTGATTATTTTTTTTTTTTTTGGTACGATTTTGATCTAAATAAGGTTTGAGCGTGCGCGCCAGGTTCAGCAACTTGATCTATTCTAAGTGAAACAACACAACAAAATTAGCGTTTTAAATGATGAATTCGACTGAAAACACTCTACCGCCGAAGCAGCAGCAGCAGCAACAACAACACAGAAATTGTTGGCTTGATTTAATGCTGCAGCAGCAGCTCAGTAAAATGTCTTTGTTTGACTGTTTTGTGGCGTGCACTTGACGCTCTTCTCTCTCGCTCACACACTATGTTACATTGCACAATGGGTGCCGTCATTAGATCTTGTCGTGAGAGATCACTTTTCTCCCTTTTGAAATGTTCTGTATGTGCTTGTTTTTTTCTCTCTCGGGATTTGACTTTGAATTCGTTTTGTTGCTTTTGATAACGCGATTTCCACACACTCACTCCCTCATTCACTCACTCACTCGTCCGATCTCACACACTCCGACCCAACAATTTAACAATGGAAAAATTAATAATAATATCTAATTAACAGTTGTTAACATAGGGCCACAATGTATATCCATAGATGTGTGTCATTGCATTCGATTGCCTGTTTTTTTTTTCTTTTCTTTTCTAGAACGAAATCTCGCGTAACACGACCATGAGCCACAATGCAAAAATTCTAACAATTGTTCCTGTGCTCGAACGTGTTGATATTTACAGCTGCGTCTTTTTCTTCCTCTCTCTCTTTATAGTTTGAGGCACAATTTAGTTCTTTTCGTGCAAAATGCTCGGAAGAAGAAAATATTTTTCGGATTTTATACACAAAATGTTCAAAAATGTGTTCTTTGTACGTCTTTAATTGCTGTTTTTGTTTGTGTATATGAAAATTATGTCAAAAATTGAATGGTTGTGATTAAAGCGTACTTGGTTTGATAAACAACAACAGTTTGACGATTTCTGTCAAGTAATCAGATCACTATCAGCCACACTCAAAATCAGATTCAGAATCGATAATAACAAACGATTAACACAAATTCGATTGAAATCCACACTTTTGTCGGTCGAAGAAGACAAAAAATCCAACACTGTTCATTCAGACTGATATTTTGGGTCGGTGGTTGCAAAGAAGCCAAACGACAGCTACGATCACACACACACACACACACTTCGCTTGTTAACCTCACAACCGCTCAACGAAACTAGAATGAAAAAAACCATTATGTGTTCTTCTCTTCTCTGCTCCTTGAATAGAATTCCAATTTTTTTCGTTTTAAGAACGTGTAAAATGTGTTCAATTTTCTATTCACAAATGCATACACACACACACACACTAAATACGCGAAATGAAAAACAGAAGCGAAAAAAACAACAACAACATTGAACGCACAACGGAACGGAATGGAACAGAAGTGGAAAAAAAACAGCAGCAGCAACAACAACTGGTAAAAATCGTATGTGTATCTTAAAATGTAGTGAGTGTGTAAAAATGACTACATGTGAACTAAAAACAGACAGCGATGGAACAAATAACCGAATTTGAGTGAGCGAGAGAGAAGCTGAAGAAAAAAATTGAAGAAGAGAAACATACACACACACGTGCATGCACACGCACTCGATGCCTATGAAATAATAATAATAATAAGGCAAAACAAAAAGTTGTATATTTAAATAATCATTCAACAAAAGCATGGAACGCAAAAAACTATATCTCTTCTGACTGTGATTTTGTTTTCGTCGATATGTGCTCTTTAATTTAATCTCTCACTCTGTATACAACGATTATTCTCTGTTGGCTTTTTTTTATATTTCGTTTTCTGTATTTATTTACACTTGGTGTTTTATTTGAAGAATGAGTCGACGAGAGACGTTAAGAGTGAAAAAAAAAATGCACGCACACAATTTATTTAGCCGTTCATTTTTCTCTACACTTGCATGTCGTTATTTTTTTTATTATTGTTCGTACTTCGTTTTGTTTAAAGTTGTTGCGATCTTGTTACTACTTTTTTTCTTCTTTTATGACCAAACACACAATACGGTTCTTTTAGTTCGTTTCAATTCCAATATTGGCTTCTTCTTCTTCTTTCTTCTTCTTTCTTCTTCTCTTTTTTTTCTTCTGTTTGTTTCTTATTTTTTCTTATTTGGCTGTATGTATCCGTCTTTGTTTTGTGTGTGCGAGAGAATTGGTTTTTTGTTGTTGTTGTTGTTTGGGTCTTATTCGTCGTATTCAGTCAAACAGAACGGGCATTACGAATTTGGTTTTCTCGTACGTGTTATTAAATGAGAGAACGTGTATGGGTGTGTGCGTGTGTACGGGAGAGTGCTGGTAGTAAACGGCACGAATACCGTTTGCATGCATGGTTAAATGTTCGAGTGAAATGAGTGTGTGTGATTGAGTGTGCCGTTGTGATGGTGCAACAAACTAAATAATATTACGTGTGTACAGGCTGTGGTGGTAGTGGTAGTAGTTTTGTTTCCTTTTACAAACATAAGAAAATAAAAGAAAATTTTTTTTCGTTAGAAGCGCTCATGCAAAATCACTCTCTGTCTGTGCTAGTCTCTATTGACAAAATATGTATCCGCTTTTATGGTCGTTCGTTCCATTCTCACGATCACGTCTCATTCTGTCTCGCTCTCCTTTTGTTTATTCGCTGTTTGGAGATTCGATTTCGTTCGGACAACGGATGTCAATATTACCTTTCTGGTGTTACTTACATCACTTTGACAGGTGGACATTTTGAAATCCGGTCGCACAACTTAATCACAACGGAAAAATTCTCCTTCACTCTTGGCTTTGTTTATAGTGTTGCGTTTTTATTGCGTTTTCTGTGTCGTTGTTGCCGTCGTCACCGTCGTTGTCACTTCACACTTTTTTTTCTCGCACGGTGAATCGTAAGTCGGCCTATGTTGTAAGACCAATAATCACTTGTCGTTTTACGATGAAATACGATTTCCAAAGACAAAAACAAAGGAAAAATTATGCAATTTGATTTTTTGATAAACTATTATACAATTCACGGCTTTTTGACGCAAACAAAACAGAAACGACTTGAATAAAGATGTTGAATAAAGAAATCGCGGGCGCACTTAACAAAAAAAAACGGATCAAAAGATGTGATCAAACAAGTGCTTTGCGCATCTAACTACGCCTATATTCTTGTGAACTATGGCTCACAATATCACTCTCTCGCATACACATCCCGCTCTTGTACATTATTTTGATCTGTGATTCCCGTGTGTCACGATCAAACGCGATATATGTCTCATTTTCAAAAGATATAGACTTGTCTTGCTTCTTTGTTGTATCATTCAGCGTCGTTGTTTGCACACATTCACACGCCGTGTGTACTTGGACGAGCAACAGAGACGCATTATCAGACAATGTCTCTTGATCCAGACACTGTTCGAACGAGTCGTAAATATGAACACCCAGCAATGGTTTCAATTTCGTTATTTCTTTTGCTCAAAGTTTAAAAAAAAAACGGCAAAACATTCGAAAATTCCGATACACAAGACCATTGACACACAGCTGACCTCTTTCGATCTCCAAATGCCATACACTCACACTCAAACAATGTATTTCATAAAGGCAGATGCTTTCAATATTCGGTTCTATTTCATTGCATCTTTTTCTACCAATTAATTTCATGTCATTTCTTTTCATTTTCCCATTTATTGCATGTAAATCGTTCTTTCCTGCATGTCAATCGTTCGTTTTCGATTGCAATACCCTTGAACTGAAGATGCCACCACTCGCGACAGCGACACAAAGAGAGAGAGAAAGAGAGAAATCCAAACAACTGCATCTGTGATATCGTCCAACTGTCAAATTGATTCTGGCGCGCAAATCTCTCATTCTCCAATTGTGTTTGTTGTTGTAGCCAAACGTCAGTTTGTGTCGCTACGGTCTATTGTATCGGTTCATTTGCAAGCAAAGCAGTCGCTATTTGATTCGTATCCTTCATTAATCGTTCTCAGAGTTTTTTCTTGCGATAAATTAGTAACGAAATTTTGCCAATATGCCCACCACATTGGAATTGTGCGAAAAATATTTCGGCACCAAAGACATTTACAAATTAATGAATCTCACAAAAGATTCACTCCCAAAAGATGGTAAGTGGAATTGTTCGGTGGATATTAATACAGATTTTTTTTCTTCCAAAGGCTTATTGTGAAATAGATTGATTTTGATTCGTTGTGTCTTTGAAATGAGCTTATGACACAACAATCGTTTGATTTGGATTTTTGCCATTAACAGTTTTTTGATGTTTTTTTAAAATGAAAGAACATCTAAACTGAGTTTACTGCGAACAACATCTCTTTTACGCTAACAGCAATTCGTACACGGACGAGTCAATGAGACAATTGGTGTGAGCGAGACAAAGTTTGACAGCAAACAATTTGGTTGTATCAATTTAAATGTTCTTTCGGTTTTTGGAAGAGAGACTCATCAAAAGAATTCTAGGGTTTTTTTTAAATGTAGAAACACGAAGTTTACATCGGAATTTGTCAGAAAACCATGGTTTGAATGCTGCAGCGAAATGAACTTTCATGAACGAACAGATATTTTCGTATGGAACCAATGGTTTTGCACACATAGACTGTTCCATGACTGTTGCTTGACTGTTCCAACTTCAGATTTTGTTCATCACTTCTTAACTTTGCTGAAAAAAAATGGACGATTTTCTTAATCACAACCAAAATTGTTGAAAAAAAACTCTTTTTCAACCACGATTGAGTGACGAAACACAAGTGTTAACCTAAGAATGAATTGCCACTTCTTCACAACAGATTGATGATGGCTATCATCACCAAACTTTGACCTTTGTGAAGAAAACGTTGTTTTTGCCACAAACATTTACTATTTATCTTATCCAAATTTGCATTTAAAACTCTAGTTAAAAAAAAACCAAATTCAATTCAATCAAATTCTTCGAATTCATTTCATCCACCAGTGAAAAAAGCCTATCATCGACTGTCATTGCAAGTCCACCCGGACCGTGTTGCTGAATCGGGAAAGGAGGAAGCCACCGAAAAATTCAAAATATTGACCAAAATTAATGGCGTACTGACCGACTCAAGCAAGAAAGCATTGTACGATGAACAAGGAATCATCGATGATGATGGCGAAAGCGATCTCAACTGGGTGAAACTATGGCGTGAATACTTCAAACCAATCACAACGACTGATATTGAAAATTTCCACCAAAATTATATCGGTGAGTTTTTGTGTGGCTTCGATGTTGAGCCCATTGCCCACTATAGTGACATAGATATGATATAGATGGGAGGTTGAGTCCATTGTCATTATATCGACTGCATTTGGGCAATGTCTAATAGACACTGTCTATAGACAAACTCTTTGAATATATTCTACATCCACGGCACTATGGGGCACTGGGGTAGCATCGAATTTCGTTTGATTCGGTATGAATTAATCGTTTTATTCTTTTAGGTTCTGAGACGGAAGAGCGTGATATTCGTAAGGCATATTTGGGTGGAAATGGTTGCATCAATTTTATGATGGACAGTGTCCCATTCATGACAGTGGAAGATGAACCACGAATCATGGCACTGGTCAAAGGTATAATACTCGCTCGATTTTTTTTTCGAATCAAGTTTCAATCACATTTGCATCATTAAAAAACGTTCAACGGCAGTCACCAGAAATGACTCTGATTACATCATTTCAATTGTTAGCCAATTCAAGAAGTTCAACCAAGTCAATTCGTGAAATAAAAAAAAGGAAAATTGAAAAACGAATGAAAAAAAATCCAAAAAGAACAAAATCGAACAAGAAAAATATTCCAATGGAAAAATTGCTAATTTTTAAAGGCTAGTGGCAAAGTGTATGGTCGTGATCGTCAAAAAATCTCAAATTGCGAGAAAAAAAATCTATGAAATTGAACCAATATTAAATTCGTTTGTTTCCATTTTCAGGATGGATTGCATCGGGTGATTTGCCGGAATACAAGCTATTCACAGAAGAGCCGGAGGCAAAACGTAAGCGACGTCACAAAAAATATGCCCGTGAAGCGAAAGAAGCAGAAGTGGCGAAAAAAGAGCTGGAGAAAAAGTCCAAATCAAATGGTAGCCTAGAGCAGCAAATAATGAGGCGTCAAGCGGATCGTGAGGCATCAGCAAACTGTTTCTTTGATCGTCTATTGGAAAAGTATGGTGGTGCCGATGATTCGGAAGAATATGTATTGCCAGGCAAGCGTTCGAAGAAGACGACAGCGAAAAAAGCCAGCGCCAAAGAGCCAATCAAAAAAGTGAAAAGCGGCCGCGTCACAAAGAAAAAATAGAGACATTCAACAGTGAATAATTTATTTTAAGTGAAATAACAGCACCTCTGACAAAAAACATAACCCATACGCTAAGCACCATCAACATTTCATTATCATAACAAACAACATTCTTAAATATTATTTTAATAGGAATGAATAACTTTTCAAACAAAAACAAAGGAAAAAAGGTCATTTTACTGTGTATTCAATCAAATAAGAATATGGAAATTATTCGGTTGAAAATCATTAGGCATGAAAGACCAAATTTTAGTAAGCGTAAAAACGGAACAACAAATAAAAATTTAATGTAGAATTGATTGAGATGTAATTATGAGGGTAAAGTACGAACATCAAACTCTTTTGAATTTAATCATTCAAGTCATTGGCGGTAGATATTCGACAGAAAGGTGAGTCAGTCATATTAATCAAATTATACAGAAAGTTGGCTCAGCGGCAGAAGCTCAGACAGAGAATTACGTTGACAGGGTTGTGGGAACCGTAGTATAATCGTATCAAACGATACATAGGCCACAGTAATGGCGATGGCCACATCACGGTGGAATTACTTCATATAGACCGATTATTGGATCATTTTCATGAAAAAAATCTGAATCTATCGAACGGAGCTATAAGCTTTGCTATGAAAATGAAAACCGATCCACCATAGCTACAGCCCACAGATAAACGAATAAAAATTATTGAAAATAATTAATAAATAATGAAAATAATTCATTTCATGTACTTTGTTTTAAAACTGGCATTTATTTAAATTAGCTGTGTGTAGATGTTTTGGGTGGTGTTTTGATGGCGCCAAAAATCACTCTAGTGGCAAAATGGTTCAACGCTTATTTGGCTGATGCAATAATCCATCAGAATTGGCTGATGTTCGAAAATTGTGAAAAAAAAGTCTGAAAAAAATGCGATAAAATCCAATTGAAAGTCGTAAAAAATGGTAAAACGATGGCATTTTTACAAAAACCCTATTGAAGGTCTGGAAAAATTAGAATTTTCAAATAAAACTACACATAAAATCATATAAAGTAAACGTGTGTTCATTAATTGAATTGTGCACAAGAGCTACATCTGAACTTCGAATTGTGAACTACACACCGGTGACTGTATTGGTGTACAATGTACATACATGCGTTTTTAACATGCTTTGTCCTTCATATGAACAATCTACGAGTGTGTATTTCCCAAGTCGCAATACGGATGCCGTGTGTACGTGTGAGTGTGTAATGGTGACTCACACATACTAGCAATACTTGAAAATCATGATTAAATGTCATGATTCATGTTTTTCCCCCCAGAAATTGTGACCAGCACAGCATACTGAAACGAGCAAAGCAATCAGCCACACACAAGTTATATTATTACGTTCAAAATGGCCAAGCATTAAACAACACACATATTTTATTTACAAAATATACAATTCACGAAAGCGAAATAAATAATGGAGACAAAGAGAGTTAACGAATTCAGTTCAAATAAATTGTACGAAATTTACAATTAAAGTGAAGTGAATAAAGAATGAATTGTTCAAATGCCAATATGGCTACGTAAAAAAGTCAAATACGGGGACATGTGAGTGTGTGTATGTATACAATCTATATAGACAGATAGATAATAAAGACAGCATTGAAAAATAAAGAAAATGAAGAAGAAAAAAGAATTGATGAGAAAAATTGAGCAAAGACAATTATTGTTAAAAGAAAAAAAAGAAATATACAGACTTAAACGAAAAACCAAAACAAAGAAGAACAACAACCTAAAACGCTTTGTAAGAATCGATCATTATTGTGAAATTGTGTATTTGTCGCGTATAGCGTGTGGAAAATTCAACGCATTTCCTCATCTACTCAACTGACATACACACTGAACGCTGTAGTGACAGAGTGGGGGCATTGAAACGCATTGTCATTGTTTTTGTAATAATTTGTTGATCCGAAAGAAGGAAAAGTTTTGAGAGTCGATACAGATTCACGAAAACACCACAAAAGAACAACCAAACACAATACACAATAATAAACGAAGGCAAAGAAAAAACAGAAAGAAAGAAAAATAAAATTATAAAGACAATCACGCTATTTACATTGAATGCATGTACCAAAACACACATACACACCCATTTAGAGAGAGAGAGAGAGAGAGTTTGAATAACAATAAATAAAATACCAAATACACAAATACACTCACACAACAAACACACAATCTTTGCATACACAGTTCGCGCGGTGTAAAACGATCGAGCGTAACACATTGCAAAGTAAAAGAAAAGACGATTAGTTATTTAACGAGAATTACGATAAGCAAAATTGAAGGGAAAGTAGTATGGAGCTATAGAGCTAGTGAAAAACAGCAACAACAAATCGAAAAAGATGGATAATACAGGAGTAATATCGTCGAATGGAACGCCATATGAGAAAATGTTCAAAGGTCCAAATAGTATAACGGCGCAAAAAGCGGCTGCCCTAACGGGTCAACAGCAACAGCAACAGCAATTTTGCCATCGAAAAGGTTTTACCGGTGGTCCAATGTATACCATCGGCAATGGCAGTGGGCATGCACAGATTTTAATGAATACACAATCGATAATGACCGCAGGAAATATGCATTTTGTGCCACCAACTCGTAACAAATCCGCACTATCGGCATCGATGCACTGTCATCCAACGCTGCAACCGATCAAAGTGTCAACCAGTAACGTATCATATTTTATGTCACCACAATCTGAACAACTGATTATGTCACAATCGGACATTATTCTACCGCAATCAACTGAAATGTACGCCAAATCACAATCTGGTCCAGAAATGATTGTCACAAAACCATCGTATGCCTTTATGAATAATGCACATGCTCGAATCGCATCGACGACTGCACCGACCTATGTTCGAATCGAACATCATCTGATCAAACGAACATCGGGACCGATTATCGAAGAGAATCCGAAATTTTTCAATAATGATAATCAAAAAAGCACTAGCCTTGGTAACAGTGGTATGCAAACGACAACGAAAACAACAACAACAACAACTGCCGTTGAACCAAACACCCTGGTGAATGCGATCAAAAGTTGCGTTTTTAATTATTTGATAAAACCAATCATTGATACGACAACAATGTTTGTGGGTACTGATAATAACGGAAAATCCACATTAAACGGCGACACCAATGTATGGAATCAGCATGATACAAAAGCCACAGCCGGTGGTTCGCCAACAGCGACGAACAAAAACCATATGAATTCGTCACCCAATCCCTACACCGATTTTAATCATAGTAGCGATAGGTTTTGTTTTACAAGCGACAAGCCAAATTATTTTACGTATATGCCTGATAAATTTTTCGACTGTGATGATTATATCGATGGTGGTGAGGATACAATTGATTTTGTAGCTGACAGCACGAATCTGCAATATAATCGATTTGGTGGCGATTTGGATCTGGATACGAATTCTTTTGTTCAACAACCATCGCCAAAAGATCATATTTTTTACGATTGTGTTAATAAGTGTGAAACGCCTGAATTGATCGCCGTCGTGCAAGAGGAGGTGAAACAGAAAAAAATCGCCGATGATAATTTAGACGTAGTTTGTAGCACGAAAAATACGGATGATGTCAAAACAACTGTGCAATACACTGAGGCAGAGACGGAAGAAGAGGTGATGGTGGTGGAAAGATCGCCAATCAATTGTCCAAAATATGAAAAATCAAATCAAAATTCGTATCGACGCAAACGGCGTGGTAAACGAAAACAACAACAACACCAATACCAACAACAGCAACAAAAACAAAAACACCACAAAGCCAACAATCGTGCGATAAAAGGCAATGGCCAAAAGAATCGTCACGAGAAAATCCGACATGAAGTCGAACAAAACATTCATGAGGACATTGATGACTGCTCTGTGGTCAGAGACTGTTGTGTTGTTTCGTATGAACCGGACGACGATGACAATGGTGATGAAGACGATTTGGAAATTATTGATGTCGACGATGAACATTTACCAAAGAGCCACCCATGCACTGCAAATGCCGCAACGGATGCCAATGCCATTGTCACAATAAAATCAACGGCCCATTGCATCGAAACACCAATTCCATCACCTGAAATCATTAAATCGGGCTGCATATTTACACAGTTTTTCCGGTTGGACAATTTGAATTGTAAACAAAAGTCATGGTTACCACTGCGTTGTATGCAGAAACAAGTGCCACCACAATCGAAACCAATGCTGAGAGAACGACCCGTTACGTGTCGACGCATCTCCGAAACATCGGAAAGTGACGAAAGTTTTATTGTTTTTGAGGATAATAGCCCCAGATCGACCACTAGCATTGATGATCTCATCACAAAATCAACAACCAACCTTCGAGATAACACATACAAACGCCAACGCCAAATATCCGAATGCAGCGATGATTTCATCCTTTTCGAAGATGATACCGACGATTTGTGCCGACGCTACGATACCACCGATGAAGATTTCACCGATTCCACCGACGATAGTGATAACAGTGAAGATGGTAAGTGACTCAATTTTTTTTTTTTGAAAATTCACGGTGTTATTCTTATTTCTGATGGGTTTTTCGGTAAAACAGATGGTAAATTTTAACATTTCTTTGTGTTGATACAGCGTTATGCCATTGAAATTGACCAAATTTTGACAAATTCCAACAAACTTTGAATTTTTGAAAGAAATAATGAGTCTTTAATGGGCTAATTTGGAATTAGACTAATTTGGTTTTTTAACGGATTCGATTTTATGAGACTAGACACTTGGGGTATCTATTGGTTACCTAGGTTTAAATACAATTTTTACGACAACCATTTCTATTTTGTGGTGAAAACGCAGATTTTCACTTGAAAACATATGGAATCTTGAGAGGAAACCGAAATTTCTACCGATTTTCGGTGTTCACTCTGAAAAAAAAACCCTTCGAATTTCATCAAAATATTGGAAATTTTATCATAGTTTTTCCGAATCTCATCAAAACGGTTGTGATTTCAATTTCTAGTCGGTGGTCATCAGAATCATCGGTGTTTGTGTGACGATCAAAATCGGCGTTCATCAGAAAAACAGACCATTTTCATGAGAAACTGTATTTTTTTTTCTCGCAAAAAATGAACTTTATTCAATTATTATTTTTTGGATATTTACATGAAAGCTTGTTTTTTTTGATGAAAAAAAGAAATTCAACTAGAATTGTTGCGAATCTCATTCAAAAAACGTTGACTTCTATTTGAAAAAAAAACATTTTTTCCTTCAATTTCTCGAAAAACTTAAAATTTCATTGAAAAATTCACTGTTTTCATCCGAAGACTTACAATCCGTATCAAATTGTCATTTAAAATGATAAAAATGACTCATTTTTGTTTACTGAGCCTCCTCTGAGTGAATTATACTCCACATGGATGTAAAAAGCGTATCAAACATTCATACTTATTTCGCAGAAATTGTGAATCTAATCACTCAAAATTCGACTTAGGCCCCACCCATCAGAGTCCAAAGCCCGGATTCTCTGGTTTTTGACGGGCAAATGTCAAATATCTAATTAAAAAAAATTCTCCACTTGTTTCTTCTACAGAGTGTGGCGACGAGAGCGATAGTTCGGACTGTTCATCGATATCACAGCGGAAGCATGATGGCGAGAGTAATCAACCAGATTCTGGTTTTGAAGAGAAAAAGGTGAGCATTTGTTTATTTTAAACATAAAATTTAAATCGATTGCTTTGTTTTGTTATTTTTTGTATTTAAATCGATTGTTCCTAGCCAATAAACACACACACACATACGCTGATATCACGAATGAAAATAAAAGTGCCAAAATGACGTTACGTTGTTGCGAATATTAAACAGAAGAAGAAGAAGAAGAAAAAAACCGACTTGTTCGCATCGACAGTGTGTGACATTGAAATCGTTCGGCGATTTGGCGGTGTGTGTATTATTGGATTTCAAGCCATTGACTATGTTGTCTATACGAAATAATCTCAATATGAAACTGAATGATGAAAATTCGCCGCGCATACAATTCATCTATTTTAAACTTGTTGCTTCGCTTTGAATATTAGTTCACATCGATTAAAATGTAGCAAACGAGGGAGGGAGGGAGAGAGAGAGAGAGACTGCCGCGACTGTTTTTTGATTAGTGCGCGATAAAATATCAGTGTGATAATTATCGATTTGTACAGCTTCGGTATATTTTAATTAACCACGGTCAAAGTAGACCAAGTAATAGAAAAAACCTAATATTTTGCATCTGACAAATTGATTAGCATGTTGTTCCGTCGCATTCGTTCTGATAAGCTGTTGAAATTATTCGAGAATTGCCATTTCCAGTAAATTCGGCTGTGCACAATAACACGTACACACAAAACAGCGCAGCCGACCGACGAAATTCCAATGAAATACCACGATCAGCACATATGGTCCAAACATAGATATGTTTACGTTGATAATAATACATATACACGCATATCGAGTAGCGGCCGCGCATATTTGTTGTCATGCGGGTTTTGGTTCATTGGAGTTTGCTTTGATTTGAGATTTATGTTAGGTTTGGAGATAAAGTATTTGGAATTTGAAGCAATCGACTTGAAAGGAGTGGGAAAGATGTAGAGGGAGAAGTGAAAATACTTGAGAAATGACGTAGAAGGAGGTTAGTAGACAGAAAAACCGAAAGAGAAAGAAATAGATCTTAAGAAACAACGCGATAATGAAAGAAAATAAGTGATAAAGGCGAAATATCGCACATCAAGAGTACATTTTCTTCTTATCACACCCAAACGATGACGGGGCAAATATTCGCTTGGATTGCGTCAAATTTTTCTGTTTCGATTTAATTGCTTTTCTTTATCATCGTCATCATTGCGGCTTATTTTTTTAGTAAACATGTAAAAAATGAAACTTTCTTACTTCAATTTAAATTCTTGAATGTCGTCTTCATATTCGGCAAATATAATAAAAATGCCGCAGATAAAGACACTTTTCAACGATAGAAATTTCAATGAAAAAGTAGAAGTTGACAACAAAGACGATCTGCGTGGAGAAAAAAAAAATGATTGCATCGAAATGGAACGAAAATGTTGGAACATTTTTCGAATGTAAATAAAAGTGGAGGATAAGGAAAATCCGACTCTGTGAAGAGTAAAAATAGAATTTTTCTTTCATAATACTGAAAATATTCTTCGAAATAATATCTCTCGATTGACCCAAAACAACACTCTTGTCTCGATGGTTCTTCGATTCGATGGTGTGGCCTATTTGAAAAATAGCAATTGTTTCAAAGTCATCGAGAAACGGCTATTGATTAAACAACAATTTGGTTGTTTTTGTTGTCGTTGTTGACGCCGCTAGTATTCTCGAATGAGCAAGCTGTTATGTGAACTCATATCGGCTTCTGTCTCGCACTCAACTCGAACGGTCATATGTTATCTCGTGCTCATACCGTGCTCGCGACATTTTAAAATAACGTGCAATTTTCGTTCGTTATAGTCGTGCGGGAGAGGGGGCAGAGATGAAGCATATAGAAGATGACGTTATCGTTATTTGAATACAGCTGACGAGGATAATATGCACACTAATCCGCTTCTCGGAGGAGAGAATTCAACGAATTGATTCTTTCGATTTACAGCTCCGGTCGGTCTCTCTCTCTCTCTTTCTCTCTCAAAGAAGAAATTGCTCTCAATTATGAATGAAATGGCCTACATGTCCATCTGTCGCTATTTTCTTCTTAATTTCGTCCGATTTTTCCCCTCACTTGACCTCACTCGGTTTTACTCTCTCTCTCTCTCTCTCTCTCTCGCTTTCTCAATATCTCGCTCTCATTCTCTACAACTTCCCCATCTCTTAGTTCATTCTCTCTTTCACCCCCCATGCGTCTGCCACACCGTGTCTCGGGTTGGTTATGCGCGCCTTTTAGTGCGATTCAAAAGTAATCGCAAAGCAAACGCGAAACAACCGCTCGCTCAAACGAACATTCAGGAAACCTAATAAAGTATCAATTTCGTTGGAACAAAACAAAGCACACATCGATATAGTCATGACAATAGTTGCGTCCGATGCACACATGGTGTGTCTATTTTCGGTGTTGGTTGAGCACGTGTTTTCGATATAAATACAACCAAATGCTCCAAAAATACCAAAAATATAACCAATCGATAAAAAAAATGTGTTTTTTCTTTTGTAAAATAATGTTTTTTGTTTTTCTTTTCTACAGGTGACATTTAATTTGTGTCCAAAGGTGCACGAGATACGTGCTTGGAAATTTGCCTATTCGCAAGCTCGCAAGGGTAAATGGGAGCAATTGGGCCGAGATCGTGAACGGTTTGAAAAGCGAATCAACGGATTGAGTCGTGTACTGTCACCCATTCTAGCATCTGAACACCGTCAAAAGATCTACGAACAAAGATTCCGAAGCGATGCATAGTCACACACACACACACACACACATACACACACATACGCAACACACAGAGATCTACGAACACATATCACACATCCACAAAATGCGTTGAAAATTGACGAAATTCTGCAATCCATTCGATTCAGTAGTAGAGAAATCCAAGTCCGGTTGAACTGCATGATGAAAGTGTGGGAAATGTGTTGAAACGTCGAAGCAAAGACGAAAAGACGGCTATTCTTTGTCTAAAATTGTTTTTTTTTATTTTGATTTTTTTTTAAATCGAAACAGCTCGACTTTTGTATTGATTTCGGTCACGATCTGAATATCATCGAAATCATCATTCAACACATATTCGTTCATCGTCCAAATTAGAACGTGTTTTTCTTTACTTCACATTTCTAAATTCAAACGGACTTTTTTTCAACAGCTCGGATCGACCGAGACTCTGTCGATCTGAGAGATCATAAAACCAAATAAGAATTTAAAAAAAAAACGATCGAAACTAAAGTACAACAACATTCGCTTTACTTGGGAAATGGAGACGGAAAAAAAACCAACCAATTCTAGCTAGCAATTCTTGGATATGAAAAAATCATTTGTTATCATGATAACCATGTAAAACGTAATGTGAAACGTAAATGGGGTTAAGAATACGAAATCCAATCAAAAATCATGAAATTGTCAACTCGTAAAATGTATTTTAGTTTTTAGGTGATGAAAGAGATGCAAAAAAGAAATTTAACAGAAAGTACTGGTGTGATGTTTCATTTTAAAAAGCTGAAAACGGCAACTATATAGAGAAATTTATTGTATTTTTTTTTTAAATTTATTTTCGTTTCGAATCGCAATAGTGTACATCCAAATCTGTACCCATGCGAAACGTTGGCAAAAACGAAAATGGGCCAAGAATTTATGAAATTGGATTTTTATTTTCTATGCAACAACAGCAACAATAAAAACATACATTTCCAAAGAGAAAAAAAATCGTACGCAATTTATAAGCAAGAAAATGGAAATCGAAGCGATCTATTTAAAAACAACAACAAGTGAAAATCATATGTTTAAGATTTAGTTAAAGCAAATAAGGGCAACAAAAAATTCGTGAGTGAAAAAAGAAAATGTAAAAAAGCAACACAACATAACATTGAATTTTTAAATTATTATTATCATGTAAGCCTGTAATTAATATGCTATTTTTATTACGAAAAATGGAAAGAAAATTGTTTTTGTTTCAAAATCGAATAAATTAAATAAAAAAAAATTAAAACAATTTTGGGTTTTGGATTTGTTTTTAGTATATATGGTTGACCAATCTGTTTTGTTTTATTAAAACAATTATTTAAAAAAAAATCATTACTAAAAATAATTCTTCTTGGAATGACATAAGTTTTTCATCTTAATAATTACTTGCGATGACATTTTTAATAGTCTTGATAGAAAAAATTTAATTTTGATTTTTTGTCGTTTGTCTTTTTCTTTCCTTTTTTTTTGCTTAAATCTATTTAAAATTCCATGTTATTTCAGCCTCGTGTAATTTACAGTTAGTGCCAAATTTCGATGATGGACTACTTTGCGGTGAATTTTGGTGCTTTTCTTCGTTCGGTGGCATACAACGCAATACTCCAATGGTCAAACACATGACCCCGACCAGAAGCAAAACGGCCGTTATCACGTACTGTAACACTGGCAACACGAATAACGTGAAATACAATAAATTCTCAATGCTTTGCGTCAGTTGACGCTGATGCTGTGGAAAATGAAGAGAAATAGGAAAATTAATTCAAATTATGACGTTTGTATTATGACTGCTTAGTAAATTGATGGATAAAATTGGAAAAAAATGAGAAGAAATGAAAAGAAATAACCATAAATCTATTGACTAGATCGAGAGGAGAGTATGTGAAAAAATTCTAATATATTTTGAAAGAGGAGAGTATGTTTTGTGATGATTCTGTTGGCGTTAAAGTAGAGTATGTTGTAGTACCGTCTAGCCTCTGCGGTCTTCACGGTTTTCGCGCAACTGATAGGAGATAACAACATGGTGTCTTCGGCAAAGTTGTAGTACTTGAGGTCTCCTATAACATTGCTGAAGACATCTATCTCTTATCTCTTATCAGTTGCGCGCAAATCGCGCACACAAAAAAGCAAATTTTATACAGAACTTTTTTTTCTTATCATTTTTCGCGCTTTTCGCGGAACTGATAAGAGATAAGAGGAAACTGACTTCAGCAATGTTATAGAAGACCTCGAGTGCTACAACTTTGCCGAAGACACCAAGTTGTTATCTCTAATCAGTTCCGCGGAAACCGTGGAAAACCTCGAAGACCCGCCAAAAATGAACATACTCGCCTTTAACCATTTTTGAGTCGAAAGAAACTTACTCTTCTCTTTCATAACAAAGTCAGATGAACTTACTCTCCTCTCGATCTAGTCAATAGAAATGGATATTAATTAATGATGAAAAAAAATAAATGAATTAAAAGCCATAGAAAAACAGAATGAAAAGAAAAATTCTTTTTCAAAAATTTTTTTTGATTGAATAACACAAAATTAGCCCATATTTAATATAAAAAATTTCGTGAATTTCTTTTCCAAAGCTATATGAAGAGAAATTCAAAAAAGTGATGTGGGTTGAACAATGTTTTACAGTAATATTTTAAAAAACCGACATAACCAAATTGTTTGCTGTCGAATTTTTTCTCGCTCACGCCAATTGTCACACTGACTCGTTCGTGTACGAATTGCTGTTAGCGTAAAAAAGACGTTGTTCGCAGTGGACTCAGTTTAGTTGTTCTTTATTCAGCAAAAAGAAAAAAAGAATTTTGTTGAGAGTGATGATAAATGAATCAGAATGAGTTCCATTCGAGAGTCACTTGCTGGAGTAAAATAGTACAACAACGCCAATAATAATTCGAAAAGAAAATTAAATTTAATTTAGAATGAAAATTATAATCAATATAATCAGAGAAAGATTGTTTTTTGGGCGCAAACTGACACAATTATATCAATTTATTTTTTGTGTTGTCGTTTTAATCTACAAAAAAAAATCAATTGATAAAATCATTATAATGTTAGTATTATCCTTAGGGTGCAGTCACACTAGGAAACATGGATTGGAAACATGTTTCCAGTTCCCCATAAGATCCCATATGAATTTCAGGAAAATTGAAAATAAAAATTTATAAAATTGATTGAAATTGAACGTTCTGAATAAATTATCTCGCTATACAAATCCTAATATAAATTTCTGAAAAAAAATCCAGAAAAATTCAATTGGTTTTGTTGTATTACCAAAAAACAGATTGAAACCGCAAAAAAGATCTTTCGGGTCATATAAAGTGGATATTTTTGGATATGGCTTATGAAATTAAAAATAATTTTTTCCTTCAATAAATAGGACGAAGATGATGATTAAAATAAGTAGGAATGAAATTGTTTTCCTAGTAAAGAGAGTGAAATAGCAACACAGAAAAAGAATGAATGCTTACATATTCCACCCAGAATGTCGGAAGTGCCATATTGCTGAAACGTTGAATTTTATCGTTGAATCCGTACAAATCTGGAATGATGACATTGCTTTGAGAGCGTGCACTCTGATCGATCGGCACTCCCATAATCGGTTCCACGATGATAAAACTTTGATGGCGCTCCCGAATCGGTTTGAAACCTTCTAATTTATTTGTCAACGCATTCGGATATCGGCCATAGAAGTGTGGATTTGACGCAGCAAAGGGCATATCTGAAAACAAAAGGAGGAAAAAACTAAATGAAATGATAACTGGTGTGGTTTTGCCTTAGAGTTGAACGGCGTAGAAATATTTTTTTTTCTTATTAATTGAAAATGAAGTGTGGCATTGAACTTAATGAGACTGGTTGGAATTTTCGTATGATTTTTGTTTGTGTTTGAAAATCTTGAATATCTGGCGATTTTTTAGGGCTCTCTAGACATTTTTGGAGTAGGTTTATAACTAATGCTACCAACTGTACTGATTTTTTGCCGAAAAGAGTTGGCAGCTTCAGTTATAACAATAGTTGGGAGTGTTATAACAATAGATGTGATGTGAATGAAAGAGAATTCTGATTGGAATAGGGAATCTCAAGACCTGGCTCTCAACAGAGTGTATTGGAAGGGAACGTAGTTGGAGGAAGAATGGGGCCATCATTACAGAACAGACCAGACGCCGCAAGGCATAAATGGTTTTTAAAGGTTGTTGTAGATAGTGATTTCACTATTTCCAGTGGATTTTACTACAAGCCCACTGTCATTTTCTGTCGATTTCGACACTTTCAGAGTAGCTCACACTTTCTCAGCCCAAAGTATTCCCTCAACCCGTGTGACTAAATCCGAAAAAATGTTCGAAAATCAAAATAAAAAACAGAACTTACCGAAAAAGCATTTGGAAACGTCGCTCAATCCATCGGGAAGCAGTTGGAAGGAACCTTTATAGCAGTCTAAGGTTTCGTTTTCAAAACGATCGTACACATCTTCACGTAAGATATATCTGTACGCTTCAAATGGTCCTTTTTGCACTTTTTTTTCGAAGTACAGCGGCACTTTTCGACAAAGTGGTTTACGCCAATACCAAAGCACTGAGTCCTCAGTCAAGTGATTTCTGTACAATGCTCCCTCCGTTGAACCGATAATCGAAGCATTACATTCACCGTGAGCCACATCGAAACCGGGAACAACCGTTTTTCCATTCACTTTAATGAAATAAATTATAAGATTCGTTTTATGATTGTTGATCGAACGTTGGTTTGAAGTACAATAAATTCCAAATTAGATTGTTGTTGAAAGTAATTTAAACCAACCAGATGTTATCTCAAAGAAGTCCTTGGCTCCGTATCCCGGACCAATTCGAACGTTGTAACGATCATTGAAATCAGCATAAATCTACGAAGGTAATAACAATGAAAAATGGTATTTTCATACGTCTTTCAAACGTTCACCCTTTTTTTCTCAAATGAAAATTAAATTTTATCGAATTTTTACCTGATGCAAGCATCCACTGTTGTTGGTCGGTACTAAAAATGATGCAATATTTTGAACGCGTTGTATTACACTGCTTCGATAGAACCACAAATAATCGAAAACGGTCATATTCAAGAATACTGTATCTTCATCACCCAGCATCGAGTTGAAACCCAATTTCTTGATCCAGTTTTCATTGAGAGATGCAGCAGTCGCCTGTTTCGATTGAGATCGGAAAAAGGAATAAATGATCAGATGAAGAAAATGAGAGTACAGGTATAAGTACGATGAAACATTTCGTGCGTAATATGGGAGAGCAATGCATGTTTCCACATGTGCAGCAGTAGAGTAACATGGACTTCTTATGTTAGAAGTAACACACACACACACACACACACACATCATATTGGATCTATGTGAATTCATGTTTCATGCTGGCGTGTCTGCTTTTCCTATCTGGTGACTCGTTTCATTAGGAACATTATTGATTTGAACCTGTAATTGTTTTTTTATGCTACGTTTCATCATACTCATGCCTGCAATCCAATTTCATCTCCAGCCATAGAAATCATGTCAATAGTTAACGAAGATACGATTTGGAAGCTAATTTTCTTTAGCCGTTCAAATAAAAAACGGTCTAAACTTTCGAATTGCGTCTCTCTTTCAAACTATAACTGCCATATGGACTTGACTTTTAGTACATTTGCCATTACAATGAGCGATTGAGGTTCAGTTCAATCAGGTAAGTCAGCCTTTGTTATTGTTTGGATTGAATGCATTTCTTTTTTCTTTTGGACTTTGGTCCAATTCAACTTTTTGTTGACGCAAAAGCTTAAAAGTTTGATTCGATGAGTAAACATAACTCATTTTGGACATTTTGACTTACTGGTCACTGGCTAAACGTGATTATCTCAAATAGAATACGTAAATTTGATTTTTTTTGTAAGACAATCATTTTTAACCAGTTGCTAGTCACAAAATGTCCAAAATTAGTTATTTTTAGTCATGATTAGTTATCACCAAGGGGAAAATCACTCAAAACAGAGTAATTACACGAAACACGAAAGTTAGTAGTAAATACACGAGAAAAATTAACTGCATAGGTACTCAAAATTGAAATACATTACAAGAAAAAAAGTTCTTGGTCAAAAATTACTTTTGCATTTAGTTTTTTTCGTGCAATTACTGGTAAACTCTTACAGTTACTTGTTTTGAGTGATTATAATGCATATACTTCCTTTTTTTACTGATTGAGTGATCTGCCCCACGGTTATCACATTTTAATTCAAGTTAAATTTGAATTCATCGGTGTAATTTGAGTCAAATTAAACCAGTTTATAAAAAATAATTTCCAAATCGTAATCTACGTAAACAATCAAGGGATCCAGTTCTTTTCAAACCGCAACATGAATCACTTCAATTCAAAACAAAACATTCAAGCAAACAGTAAACAACAAATACTACATTAGTGAGGCTTACTTGAAAAAAAAAAATTGAATTTGTCGTTCTCTGTGACCAAATAACAAAATAAATTAGCAAAATTTCTAGTAATTTCTGCTTTTGTGATTTGAAAAAAGTGACGCCAATGATATCATTCCCAAGATGTATATATACATTTGTTTACATATTAAAAAAAAAATTAATCAATTACCAAAAGTACAAAATTCGGCACCAGAATGACGCGTTGAAGGATGCCGGGTTCATTTTGATCCTCAAGAAATTCGACCCATCGATTGGCCGAGTATGACAGCGTGGAATTTTCATGGAATTTAACATTTTCATGATGAAGAATTTCACGATAGACAATGGGTCCGATTTCGATGAGGCGAAGTTTTTCATCGGTGCCATCCAAAAAAGTGTCTGGATTTTCAACGGAAAAAATGTAAACGCTTAACCGTACCTCAGGCGTTGGGATAACCCATTCTTCATAAGGCGGTAGTCCTGGCTGCATTCTCAGTCGTTGAACCAGCACAAAATCATAAATTGGTACGGCCAATGTGACAAGGCCCCAGGCGAAAAGTAATAACCCAATCAATAATGTGATGATAGTGCCTTGAAGTTCAATATGAAATAAGAACAAAAAGTTGAGAGAGAGAGAGAGAGAGAGAGAGAGAGAGAGAGAGAGAGAGACAGAGAGAACGAGAGAACAAAAGAATACATGGAACAGAGCAATTTTTGTTTTTGAACCCGATTAATTGTTTAATTTCATTACTGCGTCAAATAATGCAAAATGATAGAGGGACAAATAGATGAGTCTGAAATAATCACTTTTTTTATCAACGCTGACAGACGCATGCTCGACTTCCTTGTTTATAAATAATGATGATGAAGAAAACAAATGGGAAGCGAATGAAAAAAAAAACTCTGAATCGCCAATATAAACAAGCGCGTCAGTGGAATTGCTCGAAGCGATTTGTTCAAAATTTATAGTGCGACACAGACGAAACAACAACAACAAAAGAGTCAAGTGAGAAACAAAAAATCTGCCGTGATCCCGAGCTTGACTTACAGCATGTCTTTCGCAATGGACGCGGCTTTCTAATGCTGTTATCATCAATATTATGGTCAGTAAAATGCTCATTGTCAATTTGATTGATGACTACATCATTGCCACTGTATGTGGCACTATATGTGGCATTTGAATAGCTGCTGTGCGCCGATTTTGTATCACTTTCCGTGTTCACATCATCATTTTCACTGTAATTATTGTCACCGCACAATTCGTAACTTTGCTGCGATGAATTTGTGACTTCACTGTCATCACCAAAATTATTTGCAGACATTTTCGAGATTATCGGTCCTTATTGCTTTCGTTGTGTGGTTGGAATGTATTTAAATATTGTTGAGGTGGACATACACACACACACACACACACACGGACTAAAATTGTTCACAAACAAAACACGGACTAAAATTGTTGACACAAACAAAACACGGATGTTACACTTGAAAATAACACTATGGACTATTCGTAACGCTCAAATATCTAAACCAATTGGACAAAACGTCTAAAGGATCGATGCAGAAAAAAAAATTCTTAACCGACTGACGAAACAAGCTCAAAATGAAACAGTAGTCAAAAGTCCTTCTAGATCGATTCACAATTTGCCAATTTTGTTTGACATGGCTGAGGCGCGTGCGTTTTGTTTGTACGTTCGAGACGACGGTAATGATCAACTAAACGTTTGCATATTTCGAAACGGCAGCGCGCCCCGTTTTCACATCGTTCAGGCCGTTTTGCTAACCTCGAATTGAGCGATGTCTTTTGAAAAGTTTATCGCGCCAAAGTGCCGCTGTGTGTTGTAAAATGTGTGAAGCAATATGAATTTTTTTGCCCCATCGTGTTGTTGTCAGTACACAATTTTTTTTTTCGTTTCGTTTCATTCTGTTATTCGCTACACATTTGCTCGTCCGGATTTTTGTGTAGCATCACTTCTTTCGTTGTTGTTCTGTTCTGGTCAAAACTGCGATCGGAAAACAAATGCGAGCGAGCAGGACGATTGTTGACGGTGAACGACGACAACGTACGATCCGAAAGAGTACGATGCTTTGTATCGGCCCGTGTTAGTTGTTCCGAAACATGAGAGATTATTCTATACCGTATCAGTAGGGAACACAATTTTTACACATTCCTTTTTTTATGTCTCGCAATCAAATGTGCGCACACATGAGCTGCTAGCAAATTGAGAGTATATATGATGGATTTACGCAAGAACGAAAATGCAAACAACTCTTAAACGGTCAATGAGTTGACGGCTATTTGAAGACAACCAAGATATGCCATTTTTAAGCGACTTCTAGTCTATTTGTAACTCATCCAAATACAACGCTACATCATGTGGTTCAATGGACGGAAATTTGTAAAATGAAACCCAACATCTAATCAATATTTCGGACATTCGACATGATGCTATGCATATGAATGAAAAAAAAATCGGTGTTTTTCATTCTCAATTCTCATCAATTCTTTTCTCTTTTATTTACAAGTTTTGCGCATTTATGTTTAGTTACCACATAAACGTACGCAAAAGTTGGAGTTTTGTTTTGTTACACTCTTTGATTTCATTCATTTGGAGTGCGTTACAGCCATTTCGTTCCGTTTTTGGTGAGTTCATAATTTTTTACATCTTTTTCGTGGTTCTTGCTATTATTATTGACCTTGAATAGAATTTGAATGTCGCTTTTTTTACCGTTTTGATTTAAGCGCGCTAACGCGTTTTTCTGAGAAAAAAAAATGAAAGTCTTCAAATGGTGGTTGTGATTACATTCGTCTATTCCTCGCGTTAATTTCAAGTTCATTGCACATGAAAAAGAAAGCGTTTATCATCGCATTTGTCATGGTCAGCAGATGGGAAGAATCTCCCCCGAATTTTGACCCCGGCTTGAAAAGTAATCGAAGCGGTGGTCTTTTTTGTTCGTGTTCTTCGCATCCGAACACGAAACATTCTTGTGTGAAATATCGCTGTTCACGTCAAAATGCATTTCGAAAACATTCGCCAAATTTGGCGATAACCCGCCGATGAACAAAAACAAAAAAAACAAGCAGAACACATGCGATTGAAACGCAAGTATGTGGCTAGACTGTAGCATAGCGATTCAGCTTCACAACCAAAAAATGTATTGAGCAAGTATCAAAGTGTAAGATGCTCAATATTTATAATCAATTTTGAATGGAGAGAAAAATGTGGTTCAAGTTCGGTCGTTTACAACCGCGCCGCGTCCGTATGAATTGCAGTCCCAGATCAACAGCTCGCGACACAGTAATTTTGCTGTTTATCACACATACTGTAATCGGATCATTGGGCGAGAGAGAGAGAGAGAGAGAGAGCGAGAGAGATAATCGCCGACCAAATATTACCGCGGTGGCTATTTTTGGTGTTCCGAAGTCACACACGCACACACATACAAATCCGCCTAAATTGATTTGATTATGCGTCTTATCGCGCGCGCGCGCGCCCGCTCCTCATTTCGAAGTCAATAGCAATAATTGCTTTCTAATCACACATCACTCATTCACATTTTCTCGTCAAGAACCCAATCAATTTTTACCCGAGCCAAATACAACAATAAAAACAACCACCGTAACAGACAGAAAATTTTGCATTGATTTCGTGTCAAAGCGCAAATTAAACAAGTGCACTTCCATGTGCGTATTCTGATTGAAATCACATGCAAGCAATGAAGAAATCTAGAATAACTTAGAAAAACTATTGCATTGATAAGATTGCGAGACGCATTGCACCGTGTTCTAATTAGCAACAAAATGGTTCGCATTATGCACAACAACAAATGAAGAAATGACTTTTTTGTATCAACTTTTAGAGACATTAATTTCCATTCTGTGGCAATTCGAATTTCGAATTAAAGGATCATTCATAGCAACGCTATGAAGAATAGGATAGAAGTTTATTTTGAAAACAAGCGGAAACCGTTTTGAGACAAACAATTTAAAGAATAATCGAGATTATAAAAAGGAATAGAGAATGATTAGAAAAGGATAGATGAGATTCTCATCATGAGAGATTCTCTCATTGCGAACTCGGAAAAAACAGGAAAAGTAGTAAGAATGTGAGGAAGAGAGAGAGAGAGAAAAAAAAAACAATCATAAAACGAATAAAAAGAAGTGAAAATCGTAGAAAGCCCAACAAGAGTGGAGAAAAGCGCAGATCAAATGAAAAAATGTGCTAAACAGCTGTGAAAACTATGACTCAATGATTCAATATAAAAAAAGGTGCGTAAAACGCAGTCATTCATCATTCGTTCATCGAAATAGGTCGGAATGATTTGTTCAGAGGCAAAATCGCTTGACGGACTATGCTCTCAATTCCTTCCAAAAACTAGTCCATCTATTTTTAAACTGGCATAACAAATCCTGAACAGTAGCATAGACGTTGTCTTATAGACACTGATTGGCCTGTATCATAGACTCAAATCTCAAAACAACACATCGCCAGGCTCCCGAAACAAAGAATTGTTCAAAGTTTTTTCTCTGTTCGAATTGAATGAAAAAAAAACTCAAAAGGGAGATGTAACGGATGTGAAATAGTCGATTTTTTCTATCATGCAAAATTGCCGACTGACCAGTGTCAAACTTCTCTTTTGGGATTTTGGTTTTCATAATTTATACCATACAACACTTTCATCATTTTACAGTAGAACCTCGATTATCCGTCAGGCACCGGACCAGCGCATTGACGGATCATCGAAAAAGACAGACAATCGAGACTTTCATATAAATAGAACAAAATAATCCAAATTTCCATACTTTCTAATTAGTTTATGATGAAAAACAAGGTGATGTAAAAAATATACAATAGATATGAGAACAGATTTGGTGCATTGTCCAAAATATTGGACAATCTTGTATATACGAGAAGTGTACCGAAAACGCAAAGCCTCTGATTTCAAATCTTATTGTACGAATGTACAAGGGGCACACAATTGATTTTGATTATGAAAGTTAGTTGGCAACTTTATTCGTATGTTGCTAAACTGAAAAATGAACTGGAAAAAAAACTTTTCCACCTTGAAAAGGTGTGACGGTTAACGGAGGTGACGGATAATGGGAGGACGGATAATCGAGGTTCTACTGTAATACCGGTTTCATCACGGTTACAGACAGCTCTCATATGTCACTGTATTTATGAGAACTTGAATATTCAACCAACAAGCGAAGGCAGAGAAAACAAGGATTCCTCAAGGAAGAGGGTGATTCCAAGCTGAAAAAGAGAGGTTTTCTTTTCCTCTCAGGAAAAATGGTCCTCTACAGAAATGAGCCCAGATTAGACAACAGAAATGAACCCAGGATAGGGAAATTTTCTTGAATCGTGTATTTACGCCGATTTCGTCTCGTCTCGAAGCAAAAAAGTGAAACATATAGACTACGCGTACCACTACGTTTAGAGAATTACAAAACGTAGTGGTGCGCATCGTCGTAACGTTTTGTCACTATGACTCAAAGTCTTCGGGACGATGTAAACATAAATTCATGCAAATTTAAATTTGTCTTGGTATTTATCGATCAAACACGAGCATGCATACAAATTCCTGGCTGGAGTCTTCTACACAGCACCTTTCTCGAGGACAACACTACTCATAAAATGCTCGAGTGTGGAAAAAACCGAATCTGCTGACGTTCGATTGACTACAGTCGCGTCTTTCAACGTTTGCTATCGCTTCAAAACCGAATTCAAATATTCGATTCATAATAATAGCTGAATGTGGACAATTGACAATTTCTGCTGTCATTTTACAAATTTCACATGTGTTATCATATCTCTGTTGTCCACCGACAAGTAGCTAGATTGCAATGTATAAACAGAAAAACAAAATCAGCAGCCATAGTACAGCTCACCAAACTAGAAGTCCGATTGGTTGGTCGACAATCAGTTTCTTGTGTTGTATTTGGCCGGACGACAACGACATTGCAAGGCCTTCAACGAAATAAAAAAAAAACCAAAAACAAAAACCATGGACAAACTGAGTACATTTGAATCGTTCGCATTGATTTCAATCGTTGTGCTGTTAATTTGGCATTTGTTTTATAATTTTTTCAAAACATGGTGCACTTTATGGGGTACCAATATCAAATGTGATTACGGAATTCCACCGTTTGGCACACACTGGCGCGAAATATTCAACATTGAATCGTGGCACAACACACTGAAGCGTCTGTACTACGCATATCCGAATGATCGTTTTATTGTTTTACACGAGATTGGTGGACGCCCTCAGTATTTAATCCGTGATCCAGCTTTGGTTCGTCAAATAGCCATTCGTGATTTTAGCAGTTTTGTGAATCGAATCGGTGAAATAAATGCATCAACCGACACTGTTCTCGGTCATGAGCTTACTAATTTGAAAACAAACGATTGGCGACGCATTCGCAATCTATTGACGCCTTTGTTAAGCGGGCAAAAGTTAAAACAAGTGGTGATTCCGTCGTTAAACGAGAATAAAAAAGATCTTTGTACATTTTTGACCGAACAATTGGAAACGAGTGGAAAAAATGAATCAATTGTTGTTGATATGATGGACATAAGTACAAGATCCGGGGTTGATGGCTTCTGTTTGACTGCATTCGGTCTAAAAACCGATTCACTTCGATCAAATGGTAACGATTATGGGTTTTTCAAATCGGCAAAATCATTTCTAGAGCATAGCGATTCGACAAGCAGTGCTATGTATCATTTGATTGTGCACTTTCCACGCGTCATGAAACACCTGTTTGGCAAAACGCTCATGACGACCGCTGATCAGAATTTTTTCACAAAATCATGCATCGACATCGCTGATAATCGAATTGCCAATAAAATTCAACGCTCCGATTACATTCAATTGCTTCAAATATTACGTGACTCCGGCGATAACACCACAAACAGTATGATTGACATTTGTTATTTGCTTTTTTTGTTGATGTCAAGTCAAACTTGAGTTGTTGTTTTTTCCTCCCTGTAGATTACGATGATGATGAATTGGTATCGCAGTGTTTTGAATTTTACGAGAGTGTTATTACGGAAAACAATTTGATTACAACGTTTGTAATGCAAAAACTGGCCGAACATCCCGAAATTCAGGAGCGATTGTACGACGAAATGGTCGAGATTGAAAGTCGTCTTGATGGGAATGGGCTTAGCTATGACGGGCTCATCGCGATGAAATACACTGAAATGGTGATTAACGAAGCATTTAGAATGTGCGAAATTGCGCCTTTACTGAAACGACGAGCCACGAGATCGTATATACTTGAGAATGGCAATGGTGAAAAGGTTAAAATTCAACCCGGTGATGCCGTTTGGTTGCCAACGTATATCCTACAAAATGATCCACAATATTATCCAAATAGTAAAGTCTTCGACCCAGAACGCTACAGCGACGAAAATCGAAAAGCTCATGTGGCCGGCACGTATGCACCGTTCGGAATAGGACCAAGGAATTGCGTGGGCTGTTTCTATCCAATGGCCGAATTAAAATTAACCCTTTATCATTTGCTCGTGCATTTCACAATTGAATGTGTTGCAAACCATGAGGGCAACAACAATTCCATTAAACTCAAACGAAGAACGTAATAAAAGGGAAAAAGAATGATATCGAAATGAACGTAAACAAAAAACAATGAAATTGACAATTTGAAAATAGTCGAATGAAAATCAAAATCAAACAATGTAAACACGGTTTCGAATCAAATGTTTCTGGGTATTTTCAACGGAAAAGAGACCAAAAAACATTTTTCTCCAGAAAAGACAAAAAATGTTTCCTTCGGAAAATGGAAAGAAGTTTTTTCAGCGAATTGCAAAAAATACATTTTTCAAACCACTTTAAAGAAATGGATTTTTCCTGTCATTGAAAAAAAAAATTGAAATAAAAAGCATCTTATGCGTGATTTTTGTTAATAACAAAAAACGAATATGTTTTTGTTGAGGCAGAAACAATAGTCTAATAATATAATCTAAGTTGTTTGTTTACAAGTCGTTGTTTGTTATAGATATTGTTTCATTCGTTTTTGCTATCGGGTGACAAATAAAACTGTTGATTGATGAAGTAACTGCAATTGTTTGCTGATAAGTACTTACGTTGGTATCAACTGTATTACAATATTCAAGTAATCAATGCAGTGATAATAATATTCACTGAGATTAAGTTCTAAATAGTACTTGAGATTATGAATTATAGACTAACTACGCTTTGACAAAAACAAACGACTCTATTTGATTAAGTGTTTTCGATGCGACGAATAGAAACTTTATGGGGGGAAATGTGTATCGGCATCTATCGCATCAGTTTCGCACTTAGTTCACATTTGAAATGGCTCGTATTTTAAGTACACATCGTATTGAAGCTTATTGAGTATCTTTTTGGGCTTTTCCCACTTGAAGTTCAATCGATTCATTCAGTTTTCGTTCCACCACAGCCTTCGATTTGGACGTACTTTGAATTTAAGCTTCAAAAGCACATTGGACACAGACACTTTTTTGAGTCGTTCATTTTGCGACGAATTATCACTGAAAAATACAGTTGTAGAAATCGAATCGATTGATGATACTATGTGGTATACTATGGACAATGTGGCGCAACTCATGCAATGTAAATCAGTCATCCATGTAGAAATATTTTCCATGAACTGAAAAATGTTTCGTTTCATTTTTTTTCCATTTGAATTAGTGCAACGTGTACATTTGAAAGAACTAAGCCAGGCACATTTTTGAATGACCGCTGATTTGAAATATTGAACCAAATATATCCCGTTTGAAAAGCGACGCTCCATAGTGAATGTATTAACACATTCGCAAATGGCTACAAATACTTGTGTTCACTCAAACGTCAGTAGCGATTGAGCGCTAAAAACGCTATAAGCAATGAGTTCACGTGTGTTTCAGATATTAGAAAAGAAATTGAGCGAAAAACTACCGGCAAATTTAGAAAAAATCATAATAAGTGCTGGATTTGAATGCGAAACTGCTCTGTTATCCATTGATTCTAAAAGCATTAGCGATATAGAAGAATTTATAAACGAACATAAATTTTATTTGAAAGATACAGCATAAGAATATTGTCTGGCAAATAATTCATTAATTTTGTCGATACCAAAAGTCTTGAATCGCTCCACCATAAATAAAAAAAGAAAAAAACAATTACTTGTTTTAATTCGTAATAAAAAACATAACAAAATCAGTGTAAAACAGTATTTTCAAACGAAGTATTTTTGAGTTTTTCTAAAATTTCGTTCACAAATTCTTCAATATTGTTGATAATTTCACGGTCAATTAACATTAGCGATGACTCTGTGTCAAACGCACTTATTTTCAGAATTATTTTGATATCAACTGGAATTGTATTATTGGAAAATTTCACTAATTCAGAAAAAAGTTTTTCGAGGCCCTAAAAATGAAATGTATGATATAATTTTTACATTAAATTTCTGTCTACCATTTTAACGACTTGAATTTGCACTGTTTTGACAAGTGTCTTAAAATTTCGTTCAGTTCTAGTTGCATTCGTGCATTCGCAATGCTACTCATTTGAATAGCACACTCATTTGCAGTACCATTCGTATAATGCTTGTATTTAAATATATTGAATGGTTCCATTCGCATTCGCACGCAATCGTAGCATTTGCAAATGTTTGTATCTAAATGCACGTACTATTTGAGAGATGATATATGACATTATATCCTTTGCCTATACAATTAACCACACGACATAATACAACAATAATGTTAGAACTGTCAAGAATAGTGTAAAAACACCATTTATAAATTCATCGTACGCTTGAGAACACTTCATCATATCATAAATTCAAAGAGAGAAGTTAATAACAATGATACAACGAAAATGATATATATTACAACAGTAATATTATTATTAATATTATTCCAGAAATGATTTTTGTTCCTTTTTAAGCACATGAACTGGTACCGTAATGTCATTCTAAATTACTCAAGTATTTTAGATAATGCTACTTATTGACTCTACAATTTTTGAATCGACAACGATTCAATTGCTTTAATTTGCCTATATCCAATACAGTTTTTTGCTTGGGATAATGATATGTAACTTTTGCCTAAAATGATATCGTACTAGTTGAAATACAGTTGGCGCCACTAACAATTGTCACATTGTGGTGAATTCAAAAACAGTGTTTGATTTCTTAAAAAGAGGTGATAATAGCATCGCAAATCCGGAATTCATGCTACCATTGAATACATCCGAATGCAGGAAGTCGAATGACTCATGGCAAAAGGAAACAATTCAACGAATATGGCAAGCAACAAACATCTGTAGGCAAACTAAACTATTTTTCACGCGCCCACAATCCGACATATCGAAATACCTTCTCACGCTACCCAAAGCGACATTAAAGAAAGCAATAGGTATTCTCACTGGTCACTGCCGTCTTAACTATCACAATCACAAGCGACGTCTGAGAGATGATCCAGACTGTGACTTATGCGGCAGAGCACCAGAAACGGCAGCTCACATCATATGCGAATGTGAACGCCTATCCCGATTTAGATTTGAAATATTCAACAAACACGATTTCAACCATGCGAAATGAATAAAAACTTCTTGCAAAAGATTCTCGAATTTTATAACAAAGCAAGTACAGCGATTCCTCGCCTAGCTCATGCTTTCTAAACTCTCCTCTAAACAGCCAAAACAAAACTCCACTGCCCCAAGGACAGCGTGACAATCGGGCCGCTCGCAACACACCAATAGGCGTACGCGACGAATCATTCCGATTCCCCGAATTTATCCGAAATCCAAAAAAAATCCAAAGAGGTGATAAAGTAGTTCGATCATTAATCGACGATTTTGGAGTCATTTTTGTGGCGTCTCCACTCACATTTAATTTGTATTGTAGAAGCTTGCTTGTCAAAGTTCAAACATCATTGCAAACATATGGAAGTGGAGAAAATGACGCCAAGCTGCACGAGGTTATTTGGTTTTAATGTCGGATGAATTTCATAGAAGCACAGCAAACCCTATATAGATTATAATCAAACGGAATGAGTAATAATTCACGTTAGATATAACGTTGTACTTCATCGTAGTAGCCATAGGTCATTCGGCTAACTGAATATTAGGATTTCACATTAAATATCGAGTGCACTGCATAGACGATGTTTCGGCAACTAATGAATCGCTAAATAGAGTGAAATGCTATATCTTCGCGTGTGACAACATGTCCACTGCTTCATTGAGATACAATGTGCGATATGGAGACTCGTACAATTTAAATCAGTCGTCAAAATACAATGAATTTGAAGAATATGTTTCGTTTTATTTTTTCTGTTTGCATTAACGAAAAGTGTACATTTGACTAGGAGGTAATAACGGGAACAAATGCATGTAAATACGGCAAATGAATACCAGAAGATTCATGCGTATTTGTATATACGAATGAGAGGAAGGAACATGAAAACAACAACAATAACACAGACGAGCGCTGTACAAACGCGGCAAATGCGTCAATACTTATTACCCCCTAGATTTTTGATTGACAGCTTATCCAAATATCAATAGAAAATTTGTGTTGAAATTGTTTTGGTTGTCCTCATTTTTGTGGTCATCACAACAAAAGGCGTTACAAGTTGTCATCAATTTTCAATCTTTGATAGGAGTCATCAATCTGCTTCCATGTGTTGAAGTGTAGTTGGTCCATTATGTTGGTTACCAAGATGGATTTTCGATCGTTTACGATCTCTTGGCTGAAAATTTCGTCTGGTGATGTCGATGATTTAAATTTGGTATCACCTTTCACCGATGGATTGCTAAGAATTGAATGAAATAGATATTAACGAATGAAATTGATAAGAAACAATATTCAAAGTTAGTTCACAACTCACCCAGTTCGAGCAAAATTAGTGACTATGTAGACCATACGCTTAATCGCCCTATAATTCATATTGGAAATGTCTCTGACCTTTAATGCATTATCGTACATTTTGTAACCATCCATTACACCACAACTGAAATTTAAAAGAGAAAACCATTGACCAAATTAAGTGCACTTGATTTTACAACAAGTGTGATGAAAGCGGTTATTGAATTGTCTATACCGGAATATATAACAAATATCATCCCCATGAGCTGCTCCATCAATATTCACGCGAAGCAGGATTTTGACTACATTGACGTCAGATTCTACGGAAAATCTAATGCAAAACAGTTAAAGAAGAAGCAATGAAAGAGTGATTATGATTATAATTACATATTGACATTCAAACCTTATTAGAAACGTATTTTTTGGGTTTTCTCTGTTATTTGCTATCACTTGATACCGGACAGCTTTAAGAACGCCGTAGTTGATGTTCGAATCTGAGAGTAAACCGATATTTCCACGTTTGATTGCATCAGCATTGGTTGTGTCATTGAAATAGGCGTCTTTCAACAGATCAATCGCATGCTTGTACTCCTGATTAGAGTAAGAATAGGAGTTGATACTAATGAATACCTCTTGTTCCGTTCAATTTTTATAAAGTAAATAAATATAATTATAAGAATTACCTCTGGATAAGTATCTTTATCAAATCCTGGGAATGGCAGCAGCATCTTTGAATCTTTCCAATCTCCACTAAGAAACGGTTCACTGCTTGTAGGTATATCTTGATTGAAAGTTACGAATTCCTAATGAGAGCAAAGGAAAGAATATTTCCAGTTGAACAATGTGCGCAATTCTAATCTTCATTTATTTTAAATACATCAGATGTAAAACTGAACATAGCATCCATAACTGGTGCCTTATCCGATTTGTAAATTTCCTCAGGTGTTTTTGTTATGAACGCTCCTTTCGTTTCAGGACTTTCGATGGTTGGAGCCCATAATAGATCAATTAAAATTTTTCCATATTCGTTTTGTTTTAGTAATTTAGCAAGTTCTGCGCTGTCTGCCGCCTTCAAATATTCGACCAACTGCTGTTTGTCTTGAATATTCGAGAAATTTTGCATTCTCTCCAAGTGATTTTGTTTTTGTAATGCATAATAATTCAAGGAACTGCTACTTTGTGCAAATGCTCTGTTGAAATACTTTCGTGACTCTTCATTAAGCATATGATAATTGACGGAAGCCCCACCTATTAGAAACAAATTATATACATGATGTTAATATATCACCACTTTATGGAGAAATTTATAACTTTATCGAAATTCGACCCCTACCTGCACTCTCTCCGAATATCAAAATTTCATCTTTATTGCCCGAGAAATGTTCAATATTCTCATAAATCCATTTCAAGGCCACTTGCTGATCTTTCAAACCCATGTTGCCGGTGTATTCACCGAAACCAAGATTCATGAAGCCAAAAATGCCCAAGCGGTAATTGAATGTGACCACAATATTGTCTTCATCGATGAGAAAGTCTGGTCCATACATCATGTCATGTGATGATCCCTCAGTAAAAGCACCACCATAAATAAATATCAGAACAGTTTTTCTCATTGCACCTCCGGCTTTTGAAGGAGGGAAACACAAGTTTGATGCATTAAATCGGACACTCAATTTTAACTTAACTGGAAAATAATCAATAATAATTTTCACTTAAAAATGTAATAAAGCTCACCTGGAACATAAATGTTAAGAAAGAGACAATTTTCGCTTGTTCTTCCCGATTTTGGCATGATAATCAACGATGCGATGCATCCATCTTCGAAGTTTTGCACCTTCAGAGGTGTATACCATTTTCGCTCGAGTGGTTGAGGTGGCTTCCAATGGAAAATTCGTTTTTAATCGATTGAAATGAGTTTGATCGATTGAAAAAAAAATTACTTTTTATGTTGACATTTATTTTCTCGCTTCCATTCCTTACCTTGAATCTTCGATCAACGTATACTCCAATGTATGGATCCACTCCTGTGATCGGCGCTTCGGCGTATGGAATTCCCCGAAATGAATAATATTTTGTGCCGAAGAAGCTTGTTTGTTCTATGCCTTTAACAGGTCCATTGTTGGTCTTTCTTACTGTAGGCGGGTCATCACAGTGTACAATCGATATGAGTAATGGCAAAATTAGCATAAATTTACATAACACTTTATACATTTCGAGCTCGTACATCTGAATTTACGGCGGGAAAAATTATAAATTAAATCGAAGTCTCCACATAAATAGCCATTTAAAAATTGAGAACAATTCAATATCAATAACTTCGAGCCAGTTTGAACGATCTAAAATAAGTATAGATACAAAAATTAAACTTTTCGCCATTCTAAATAAAATAAAAATGATAAAAAAATATTTTCCGTATGGAACCTAGGGGCATTTCTCACGAAAAGAATGAATGAATTCTTATAAATTTTGAAAAATTTCTTCCGTTCGGTCCGATTCGATCAATTTTTATCAATTCGTGTAAATAAATGTTCATTTACACTGAACTTGTGTTCTGGAAGTGGGTTTTGGTGGATCCCCAGGATCGTTTAGTACTGCTCCCGGTTCTGGAAGTGGATCTTCAGGATGGGCCAGGGCATTGTCAAACCGGATCTGGTTCATCCTGAGGATCCACCAAAACCCACTTCCAGAATCGGGAGCAGTTCTGAACGATCCTTGAGATCCACTAAAAACTACTTCCATAACACTTTTATTCAAGCAATATCGTCATTTCAGTACATTTTCTTACAATTTCAATGAAAAAGAAGAAATAATAGACATTTTTGCACATTTGCTCAAATTTTTTGTGTGAGAAATGCCCCTAGTATGGAACTTCCTATTCGCAAGGCCTATCAATGTAAAATCGGCAGTGTTTGTCGAATTGAACAGTGAACAATCCAGTTATTTACAACAATATCAGTTGAAAATCCAGCCAATTTTGTTCTCTGATCAAATTCATGCAGATATTTCAGGCGTAACATTTTTCTTCTTACCAATAAATGTGTATTTCTTACATGTGCCCAAATGAATGTAAGTTTTTACACTTCTATACGATGAAAAGTCTCCTACTCACTGAAAAATGGAAGTCAAAAATTTAGCCTTACGAAGTCATTGACTTCGTAAAGTTAAATGTTTGACTTCCATTTTTCTGTGAGTAATTACCGATT